GGACGGAGGAGAATCATCCTGATGCTTGCCCTGGCTTGGACCGTTCCATTTGCCATGGAGTTGCCCCGCTTGATTTACACTGTGATTATTTTCCGTCACAATAACTGCAACCTAGAGGATTCCAGTCACAGGACATTCGCATTTTCCTGCTTGACAATGACGCTGTTCTTCATACCAGTCAGTGCCATGATAGCGATTTACATCAGGATTCTGGCCAACCTCAAACAAGGAGCCAAGAACCTGCGGAATCTGGGTATTGGTGGTTCCGCGGAGCAGCTGCTTCATGCGCACAAGAAGGTCACCGGCTCACTGGTGGTTGTCACCCTGGCCTTCTTTCTTCTGGTGTTCCCCGTGCGGATTTTCAAGTTGTTGTTCGAAATCGATTCTGACTGTTGCGTGCTCATTCTACTCAAACCTTTCACTGTCATGGCTCTCTTGAATTCGGCCATCAACCCGGTCATGTATGGCTTTAAGTACAGACAGTTAAGGCAAGCATTTAAAGCCTCGATCTGTAAAAGACCACTCGGAAGTTCTAAAGGCTCGAGTGCACAGACAATCCAGTCAGTAACCTAAGTATCTGTGACTTGCCCAACCTGCAGCTTGTCCTTACTAGTCATTGCATTTAAACACAGATAAACACACACGCTCACACTGGAGAACAAAGCTGTGATAGAAAACTCTAAGGAGTTACAGTTTGAGCCCCAAATTTGTCTTGGGAGTAGAGCTTTGAATTCTCACATGGAAAGAGTTCAGTATAGCTTAATCCAGTTGTCAGCCTTTACCATCGCAATAAATGCACGATGGCAAACGTTCCAGTGAGTAAACACAGAGCCAATAAACCTGACATCAAGAAGCACTGTCATTTACTAAAACAGGGAAGTACATGCCACTGTGATTTATTAGAGCGTCAGTGTTGTGACAAGCTAGATGAAACTGCTGATAATCTTCGTCATTAAGCAGGGGAAATTTCCCCTTTAGACACTTGAGATGTACCGTTTCATCAAGATGGTATATACATGTACGTGTGCAGGAACAGTACTTGCTGTAGAGCTTCTCAGTGGACGTTCATCGGTTGTTGGACATTCTTTGTAGAACTCTGTCAGCAGTATTTTGTCCAGTAGCTGTCCTTAACCCTCAAGGTTTAGTGTAATTAATCTGTGTAGAACCTTGCTGGAAAGCCGTGGTTAGCTTGGATGCAGAATTCGGTCCGTTTGTGTGAGAGACTCTGAACACTAGAAGGCCTGGATAAGAAAGGAACTGGACTGGGCAAGATGGCCACTGGCCAAAGCGACTTGAACACCGCCATCTCTGTTTTGCGGGTGCTGCTTTGCACTTTTGGTTTCACAGGAAATGCTCTTGTCTGCATTACCATAGGTAACACAAAGTCCCTGCACAATGTGACCAATCTCATGATTCTGAACCTAGCGGTGGCAGATGCATTGGCTTGCTTCTGTGCCATTCATCAACCGTGGATCATTGATTTGTACACACTGTACCCGCCCCAGAATGCTACTGAGTGTTCCCCAGAGCTGTTCTTTCAGCACGACAGCATTTTTGTCTACTATTATGTCAAAAACTGCTTCTACACTCACTCTGTGCTGGGTCTGATGCTGGCAACAGTTGAGCGATTTGTAGGCATTGTCCGACCGCTGCACCACCGCAGTTTCTTCAGCAGGCGGAAGATTGTCCTCTTGCTGGTGGCTATGTGGGTTGTGCCATTTGTTGTAGAACTGCCCCAAATTTTATTTGTCATCATTCATTTCCGCAAAAGCTGTCCATATACTGAACCTGAGTCAGGCCTTTTACTGTGTGCCTCGTCGGTGCTTTTGCTTGCTATACCAGCAGGGGCAATTTTCCTGATGTACGCCAGAATCCTCTGCAATCTGAAGCGGGGCACCAGGACACTGGTGGCCCAAGGGATACCGCAGCCAGCCCAGCAATTGCTCCATGCATACAAGAAAGTCAGCGGTACCCTGAGTGACATTACTGCAGCTTTCTTCCTGTTCATTTTCCCTTGTCGCATCTGGCGGATCGTGCTAAGCACGGGGACTGGTGACATCAATGACAGCATTGTCCTGCTGAGTGCTGTGGAGCTGTTGACCATGTTGAATTCCGTCATCAACCCGGTGGTGTACGGCTTCAAATATGATCAGCTGCGGCAAGCCTTCAAAGCCATTGTATGCCCATGTGACAACAACAAAAAGCCCTTGCCATGGACCATGAGGAAATTGGTGAGAATGTGAGCCCTTGCCATGGACCATGAGGAAATTGGTGAGAATGTGAACCCTTGCCATGGACCATGAGGAAATTGGTGAGAATGTGAGCCCTTGCCATGGACCATGAGGAAATTGGTGAGAATATCACATGGATGTGTTCAAACTTTGTGGGAAAAAACCGGTATTTAATGAGCTGTGCATCAAACTGTAGAAGCTGTGTTGACTCAGTTTATCTCAAGCAGCAAACATTTGCAGGAATCTGTGATTCAACAGAGGAGATGTTGTATAGTAAGATTGCTGCCAGGTATCTGGTGAAAATTGTCTGCATAGAATTTGAGGCATTAACACTGCCGAAACCAGTCTCCTTTGTACTTGTTCTGCATCCAGCTAGTCAGATATATGTTCGGCAGCCAGCATTCTAACCAGCATGTACATGTAGCTACACTCGGAGTGTCGTTGGCATTAGAAAAATACTGGGCTGGATGTTGAATTCTCTGCTTAGCAAAGGAGAACCATTTGAATATTGCAACAGACTTTGAGTTCAATCAAATAATCGTACGTGCAATTTGTTGGCATGGGCTTGATACTGTATATAATCATAATGTGTGAGGAGTGTACCTATGAAGGCATGTACATATGCATAGGCATACCGTACTTTTGGTGGACATGTCTTCAGCAACTTGACTTAAATTGCGAACACTTTAAAAATACATATAGAATGTGCATAATGTACATGCGCCATACCTGTTTTATAGCTACAGTGTGAACCAGCTGTGAATTTGTCAAGAGCTGACTGGCTTCTACTCTGTACATGTAATTCATGTGGAACGACGGCACTGTTGCACCGTGTTCTCCAACTTCTTTCCTTCTTTTCTGCATGTACCTGCACCAGCTGTGAAATTTGATGTCATTAGAATTAAGAAAATACAATATTACTATGGTGAAGCGAAAGGAGTGACAATAGAATTGTGCGAAACTCCAGCAGCGTACAGACTTTGTTCCTCTACAAGAAATGTGGCCGTTTTGGCCAAGTTTGCCATCAGCTTTCAGTTCACAAGCCTGTATATCTTAGTGATGAAGAAAATGACAGGCTAGAAAAAGTTCTTGGTTGAAACATTTGGTTCAACTCGCAAGATCTTCTCTCAACCAACCTCTCAACCAGAGGGAAATTTGTGCACGTACTTCAGAGCAATTTTTTTCAGGTAATTACCAGTTCTTTGCTCTTAAGTTATGTCTCATGAATTTTCATCATTTTCAGTGAGTCACAACATCTTGTGTAACTTTCCACACCGTCGTTTTCTGTGTGCTCTGGCTGCCGTATTTTGATGTGAAGTCAAAGTTTAAAAAAGCCAGTAAAAAGAAGCTTTTTTTTTGTTTTTTTAAAGTGGACTCACTTGATATACATGTAAATGTTCTATTTGAGACCAAACCTAACAAAGTGAATCACAAGTTACCAAAGCTACTGTTACAATGCAGTTCTTTTTCCAAATTTTGCTCCAAAGAAGTAAAAAACCAGCATCACTTACATGTACATGTGTATTTATAATAATATTTTGTATTAGGGTGAAGAACTGAATCGTGGCTTATATCAAGACTAGAACCTGATTATGTTTTCTGTAGTAAATTCTTAGGAAAAATCACTCAAGATTTATTTTACTGCATCCCGTCCACTTTGTCGCATACATGTAATTTGTGTAACAAGTCACAACACGGGATGGAGGTTAAACACTTCTTGAGTCTCATATACACCAGATTATTACCATTTTACGTTGGCAGCACACATTCATGCCTACGCATTCATGCAAACAAGGCTAGATGCCCACTGATTGCGATGGGTCAAACTCATTTTGTATATATTGAAGTTTTGAATGACTTCTTGACATGGTTTGGTTGCTGCAGCTCTTAGGTCCTTAGTAAACTGAAATCACGTTTACAGACTGTGCATATGTATGACTATAATCAAGGTGAAAGTGTGCTTGAGACCAAGAAAGCAATCAAATGCGCCCACTTACGAGTATTGCTGTTGTTACAAGCCCTCAATTAGGTGTCCCTTACTTCTGAAATTTCTGATAGGCAGCATATTGAAAACATCAGTTTCAAGTTGTGTAAATATCATACATGGACAGGCTTAGCAACACAGATATGCATCAGTCACTGGACGATATGTGTAAATTAAACTTGCTGAGATGTTATCAAATACTGAGCTCCCTCAAATACCTTTTAAATGAAAGAGTTTGAGAGACATTGTTTGTTCTGTGTAAATGAAGATGTACATGTGAGTCACTCGGCTATGGCTTGAAATTACACGAGTCAATGGCAGTGGCTTGTCTGCAGACATTTCCAATGGAGTCATGCGTTATTGAAAGCCACAGCCAAGCAATTTTGCCACAGTCTTAACCTGGAGGGAAACTTGAAGGGCGCAAAAGACTCATTTTGTTAAACCCAACACTTACATTATAAGTGATTGTTATAATATCGGAGGAATAGTGTCGATTTTGTTATAAGTTATCTTTTCTTTGCCATTCTCCTCCAGGAAATTGACGAGCTCTTAGCGGGTGGTTTGACCGAGGATGATGAGGCAGCCGTTCTGGAGGAGCTAGCACAGCTAACAGGAGTGCAGGAGGCAGGACCCCAGATTGATCAACTACCAGACGTGCCGACTGACAAACTTCCCGATATTGGTGAGTGGACAGAAGCCAGGGCCTGCCCATTTTGATCTGCCATGGATTGAAGTGCACCCTCACTGGCAAAGGAGAGAGAGTCTGGTTGGAAGTTTCTTCATCTGGGCTCCTGCACATGCCTGGCAAACATGCGATGATTGTACATTCAAATACAAATTGGTGGCAAAGGACTTTGTTTTCTATGTAAAAACATGCAGATAGAGCTTTTAAGCACAAAATAATGCCTAACAAAACATTTGTGCTGAGCCAAAATGACTGGAGAACCAGTCTAAAATAATAAACTTTGCATGGGGCTTCGGCTGGTAGCCTGTTTTTCCTGAGCATATGTAACCTGTGCCTACCAAATTCTGTAATTAGCAACTCTGTGAAATTTGCCCCTGAATGTCAGAAATTGACATAAGCAATATATGGTAGAGAGACTGTTTCATTCGAAACATTTCTCAGAGGGCCACCAATTTTTTTGACATGAACCTCCGAACTCACTTTGCATGGCAAATGGTGAGCAGAATTTAGAGGTTGTGCGTGGGAGCCACGTTTCCAATAAGAGTTTTTTGTTCCACAAGAATACATGAGTCAACCTTTGGCACAATCTCTCCGCAACAAAAGCAGTTGCCGGAAAGATGGCTGCCACGCACAACTTCTGTAACTGGAACAAAGGCACTGGCAATCTGCTTGATTGAGAGAGAGCACCCTGTAACCTAGCAACAATTCCGGGGGGGGGGTTTCGGTGTGCCACACGAACACTTGTTCACACTTGGATTACACAGAGCACATACAGGCACGATTTTTCATTCGAAAGTGCACACGTGCAAATGCAAAGTGTCTTTTTGTGGTAGCTTTTAAGTGCATGGGAACAACTTTCTTCACACGTAAGTATTGGTACAACCCATGGACCATCAAGCCAGCTTTGCCATCAGTACCTCATTTTTGCAATCAAAAAGGCACAGAAGATAAAGGTTTTCCTTCTGTTTTCTTTTGACTGAAAATGATGAATATAAGAACCAAATTCATTTCATTTACAGATTGCATGTAAAATGTTACTATTCAATGAAATCATCAAACATAACAGTGACTAATTAGCAATCTTTACTTCAGTTCTGTGGTCAGTAAACCTTCACATATGTAATCTGTTTTTGGTGTTACGAAAATGAACCAAAGGTAATCTTTTTTATTCTCCTTTACCCAGAAGACGAGAAGAGGAGGAAAGAAAGAACGGAAGAACGGGAGATGGTTCTTGCCTCCTGAGAAGCTTCACCGTGCAGGGCTAAGTATTACACTACCCTGGAGCATTTTGTGACAAAGAAGCACAAGTGCATTAGGTGTACATAAAAATTGTAGAAGCAGCAAAGCATTGTGGGTTTTTTTCTGCCTGATCCCTTGACAGAGTTTCATTCACTGTGCACAGGGAAGAGTTGTTCCTTGGTCAATCATGCAAAGTATTCGCAATGCTGTCCAATGAGAAATGAAAGAAATTAGTGGGTACTGGGATGGGTATACTCATGGAACCTGGATTTTTCAAGGGGGAGGAGGTAGCTGAGGTGTTGAATTCAACATTCTTGAAGACCAGAGAAGTGTTTGGAATTTGCGAAGGGTAGGACACTGCAAAATCAATGATTTTCTTAAGCAGCCAGCTCACCATCCAGACTGAATGAGTGCAGAATGGGACTGACGGGATGATTGATAAACATAATTTTTATGCTTGACGTTGAACACGGAGTACGAGTTGAAAATTAATAGTGCTGAGAATAGACTGCAAATTCGTCAAAGCAATCAGTCACTACAGGAAGAAAGTCTTTAACCCTCCAAGCTTTGCTGTCGTGATAGAGATGAAACAAAGATGGACATAGGGCTCTATCACTGACCCCGGGGTCATGAAACACATCTGCCATTGTGATCTACGCATAGACCACAACAACATGCACTGTCTTCAGATGGTAGGCAGGCCTTCACTGCTTAAATGAATGGCAAAAATACAAGAAAAATGTGGAGCCAACTGGGCATGGCACCTATGATGCACTTCGCCAGGCAATCGAGAATGCATTGCAATATTACATGAAATTAAACCTGTCTACTGTACAACATTTGGCATACCGTTGCTAACCAAGCACTTGCGCTTACTGCAGTAGTTACCAATCTTAGGAACCGTGTGATCACATGGTACTCAGATGTCATGTGATCAGACCCCGTTTGAATGCAAATTAACAAAACTAAGGTCTTTTTCATCAGAAGAAAATCATAACGGGATAGATTTCACTTGTGTACGTAATTGTTTTTATTAACAATTTACAGGGGAAAAACAGATGAAAATGAGAGTATGTCACAAGAGCAGTAGTCATCAACTATTTTTCAGCAATCTGGCATAGCAGGACCCAAGTGCATTTGAAAAGATACAAGTAAATGTAAAATTTTCGTTGACCTGCAAGTCATCAGCAACATCATGATTTCAACCCATGTGACAAAACTCAAAATCCAAGTGTTTGACGAGTTAAATTTAAGAGCTCTGACAACCATATTTATATATAGCTATGAGACCTTGAGTAGTTGCTTGGCAATACCCTTTCCACCAAAAATCATTTACTTGCAAATAAATTCAGAAGTGGTTTATATTAACATTGTGTATATAATATATCTCTGTACAAATTACTATTTTGAAAATATTATTGGCAGAAGTATCCATTCTAACCGATGTAGACCCAGTATTTTTTGAAAAATGTTAAATTGTGTTTTAAACACTTGGTGGACGTAATTCCGGGATTCATAGAAAGAGTGTGTCATTAAGCATTTGTCCTGATGAGGTTACATGTACTTCCAAGGTGAACTTTGCTTCATTTTTTCATGAACACTTCCACACGGAAACAATCAATGCAAAAAAATGTAGACCGCAAATTTGGGTTTAGAAGACGAGACTTTCGTCAGCATGTCTTGAACAATTTGTACAACATACAAAATGCGGGGCTTAAAACTTATTGCATTATAAAAATAGAATAAATCCGCATTAACGACAAATGCAGTTCTTCACCTAATATACAAAGACGAAGTCACAAAGCTGAAACCAATATCACTATTAAACATCAAGAAACACTGATTTCTACTGTCTGACCTCTTTCCACAAAACCCAAAGTCAGGTTTGATTTGTACAAAGATCTTGCTTAGAAAAACCATTGGTGGACGTACATGTAATTCTGGAATTCATAGAAAAAGTGTCATTAAGTATTTGTCCTGATGAGGTAACATGTACCTCAACGGTTAATTTTCCTTCATTTTTCCATGAACACTTCCACACAAAAACATAAGTTTGTTCAAAAGACCTCCATCAATACGAAACAACTTTTTTCACAGCAAAACATCCTACTTGAATAGAAAACTTTTTAAAAAAAGGTGAATCTTTACCACCAGTGCTGACAAAGACAGTTGTTCACATTGCCAAAAACGGACTGTCAAACCTTTCCCATGATGCATTGCAGCTAAAGCAGCCTTGATGCATCCTACATGTATGTGCCTGTTGGGCATTGTAAACTGCGCAATCTGGCAAAGCAATAATCTGCTTTTAGCAACCAACATGGAAAGCTAATTAATAGCAAGTCATACTGTAATATGTTTAGGTGTTTTTCGTTGCACCCTTAAAAACCATTTACAATAAACCTAAACCAGGAACTCGTATATATACATGAATGCACACTGTAAACTCGTCAATAGTCTTTAGATGTATTCCATGTTTGTGGTACTTGTAGTGGTTTTAAAAGTCATAAGCTAATGTGAAGTATTCCAAACTATGTTGCATGCTGTAACCAAAAACACATGAAAACTTCTCTCAGATGACAAATGCTAAGAAAATGTCGTTTGTTTCTGTTGAAATGGTAGCATTTGGTTCCCTGTATGACTAATTGGGGGGGGCATTGCGTGTAGCATTTTATGCATACTAATGTGTCTTACATCTAGGGCAGGACACACTTAGCACTTGCAAAGTTAAGCACACGCTTAGTTTTGCCAATGCAGGTTTGAATAATGAGCATCCAGGGAAATGCTCCCAAAAAGTTTGAATTGACAAACATTCCAGGGTTTGATTATTAGAAGGATATGAATCACTGTTTGATGTGGCAGGATTTGAGTCTTTTTTAATTTTGGGAAAATCAAGATGTATACTCAATCTCGGAATTTTTTAAGAACATGTACAAAACCATGCGTACTTCCTGTTTTTGTGGTTTTTTTCAATAAATGAAAAATATGCAGACTGCAAATTTGGGTTTAGAAGACGAAACTTTCGTCAGCATGTCTTGAACAATTTGTACAACATATCAAATGCAGGGCCTGAAACTTATTGCATTATAAAAATAGAATAAATCTGCATTAACAACAAATGCAGTTCTTCACCTAATATACAAAGACATTATAAAGTCACAAAGCTGAAACCAATATCACTATTAAAAATCAAGAAACACTGATTTCTACTGTCTGACCCCTTTCCACAAAACCCAAAGTTAGGTCTAATTTGTACACAAATCTTACTTTGAAAACCCATGGAGCTCTTAAAAACCCAGCTCTATGGCTGAAATGAAATTTACAGCTCTCCCCATGCTATGAGCCACAAAGCTTGGTTTCCCCATGATCCACATCCCTAACAGATTTTTTTTGTGTATTTATATGAGAGTAGAGTCCGATTTCCTGCCTGATCAACTGATCAGGTGCATTTCTGCACAACTGACCGATAGCACAAATTCATCATTTATGATGCTCATCACAGAATTATCTATGTGATGGAATGTTGACAACAACATTTACTCGAAACATTTTTGAATTTGCGGTCTGTGGAAACAAGTCAAATATGGTTAAGATTTAGTAAGCGCCAAGACAAAAATAATATGCCTTTCGGAAAAAAGAGCCATTACGTAATCAACATTTTTTGTTTTGCTTTTATTGGGTAATTTGTACACTTTCTCTGTGGGCTCTGTAATAAAGACACAACGAGTGTGAACATTTTGGTCGCACCTTTGTTTGTTTTGACTTTCTCATCTGTGATTTTGTTGATATGTTCAGCCGTTTGTCATTTTCACCATGTTGGACAAGGAGTTGCAGCTCTCATAAAAGTGTGAAATAAACTTTTCCATCAAAACTGGGCGTAAAAGACAGGGTTTGCAAATGTAGTTTCACAACATATTTTGAGTAATTCACAAATCTGTATGGTAGATTTACGGTTGTAAGTTGGTTGCAGGTGCCAGACTACTACACGACTGCAGGTAGTATACATGTTTTCGTTACTCTGGGGAACAGAACACAAAGGGAATAAAAGATGTTGCCTTGTCCTCGGTGGTATTATACTGTAGGAGCCATAGCAAACACATAGCTTTCTCATAAATGGTATCAGCTCTGAGCGAAACAAAACGGGGGTTTTTAACTCACTGCATAGGCGCACCACGACATGTGCAAGTATATGCGAGGAGCACGCTAAGTAACTAATTTACTCCGACATGTATGGTCTTTGCGTACATGCCAAACGTGTGCAAGAACCTGCTTGTAACCACCTGTCTTTCTTTTGGCCGATTGGGGGCGCACTTCAGCCCGGGGCGGACATTAAAACAAGACCATGATTAGGCCTTCCCCGTGTTAAAGAGGACAGTTGCTTTTGCAAGCAAAGCCAAAACCACACTGGGGGACAAAATTGGTCCTCAACATTTTTGGTCCCCATGTGAGAAGGTGCACCGCTACCAAACATCAGTCTCGTGCAGGGTCAACATACCACTTACATGGGTACGAAATAGTTGATTTTCATCGGAATGTGCACAAACCATAGGGACATCTATGTACATGTAGGTGCGCACACTGAGGCTCAAACTAGTCGATGGAGGTTGAGCACGAGTGCAGCCATCAAGCGGCTGTAGGCAAAGGACGGGCGTTGTGGCAAATATTTTTGAGCAACACTGTCTCGAAATTAAAAAAAAGCAACAGTGTGGGAAGAGACATCGCTTAAATCTTGAAGTCCAACTTTTGGAAGGACTGCGGCATTGGCATCTTGCTGTACAAAGTCGTTAAATTTTTTAGAGAGAAATTAATGCCAGTCATGGGGCATGTTGATTGTGAATAATACCATTGCCAAGTTTGCAATTTCATTTTACTAAAACAAAAAATATCAGCAGTTGATATGTACCAAAACCTATTAAATTAGAAAAATAAACTCAAGTATGAAATTCAATTACAAAATCAATCTCTCGACTTGAATACAAATATAAAAATGCTTTAGTCTGTACAAAGATATATAAATCTATCTCTAGCTATTTTATAAAAGATTTGATATTTGTTACACAAAGCACATTTGTACATTTTGTATAGTAACAGTTTGAAGCAAATGTGACAGACTTTAAAATCTTTAATAGATAGACAAGATCTTTATAGTCGTGAGGGTATTTTCCAAACTTCGGCCTTGTCTCCAGCTGTGGCTTCCCAGCTTCAGTTTGACTTGATGGATTCAATCTTCAGAGTGGAGAGCCTCAAGACAACTGCATTTACATCCTCAAAGGAAGACCACAATTCTGAGTGTTTTCTACTGTACAAATATTAACATTTTTATTTCAGTAATTTCCCTTTTGCTCTGGAGCCTAATATCAAGTCAATCCAGAAGTAATGAGCAGAAACAGATTGGGCCAAACCCACCAGCCATAACCACCACCACCACTAAGCAATCACATGGTACATGTACATGTGCATTGGCAAGCAGACAACCCAGAAGTTCTACTCTTCTCTCTTGCAAGCTCCGTGGCTGATCAAGAGGTCTTGGGTTCAACTCAAAATATAAACTTGTGAATTTCTTTTGGCACAAGATCTCAAACAGCACTGAGTAAGTAATAATCATAAAAGTAACATAAGTGAAGGGCAAATGCTCTTTGTTAAAATTGACATCCAAAGGTACAACCCATCTCCTGGTGAACACAGTGCAATATGGAGTGTTGCATTTACTAAGTACTTCATATACATGTACAGTCACTTTTGCTTCACAGATAATCATAAGGCTTTGCAGGTGGTGATATATTCCCCAGTCTAAATGTGGCACACAGAATTTTCAGACAAGTAATGTAACATGGCCAATCTGTTAGTGTTCATCCACCATTGGTAATGAAAGTACTTGTGGCAGCACTCAAAGATATGACCTTTTAACACATCACAAGATCGAACCAGACCAACAGGAACTCGAGCCTGAACTCAAGCCACCCACTATGCACACAAAATGTAACAAATGCATTCCTTTGCTACTTGGCCTGTTTGGCCTTCTGAACGGTCTTCTGATGGTTTTGGCAAAACAACACCTGTGGTTGCTGATTTATGAAAAAAAGTCAAGTACTAGTGAGGCACTCAAGTAGAACTCTGGATGAGCAGGCAATGTTCAATGGCCTCTTTATTTGGTGCCTGTGTACTTCTCCCGTTGGATGACAATGTCCAGGAGGTCTTGTCGTTCCAGCTCGTGCAGCATGGAGATGAGCTCCGTCTTGTTGAAGGGCCGCAGTGGGTTGGCTTGCCGTTCCCAGTAAGACAGGATGACCTGCGTGGGCTTCTTGCTGTATCGGCGGCTGTAGTCATCAATCAGGATGATGTCTGAGCTGGAGAGACCTGGGGAATGGAAACGGGCAGCAAGATTAAAGGTCAGTTTAAATCTGTGCCAATCCCAAAAAATTGGGGGGGGGGCCAATTGAAGGAGATTACATTTCTGTGGAAGCACTGGCCAAGCTAGAGGGTGTTCAGTGCCATGTTTGTTATGTCTTTGTTTTGATGGAACCATGGACTTCATAACAGCATGAGGCCATTATCACACCCACATGATCTCGTACTAACCATGTTTATGCATGGTTATTACATGTATCTTTAGTGTGCACTTTAGTCCTATGCAAAGATACATTCTTGACACATTTGTCATATCAGTCAAAATCAGTCAAATTTCCCATATGGGTCTGTGACTGGGGCAAATCAACTGGAAGGAATTTTTGACTGTTTTTGACAGTTACAGCAGAAGGAGGGTTAGTGTGCACTTTGATGGCACAGTTGCCACTGACCTAAAGGGGAACATAGTCTTCTCTTTTTGGGGGTGATCATCTCCTGGTTTTATTTTTGTAAAACTACAAAAAAAATGAAGGAAGCGGGTTCAATCTAGGTTTGCGCGTGTATGTGAGAGTGTGCATGCAGGGAAGTGGAGTAGCCTGACCAAGCCTGAACGAGGGGGATTTTTGTAAGGAAAGTCGGCGAGAACAAAAATTTCCCTGGAGTGAATTTTTCCCCACAGTAACTATCATTGAACATGTGTGAAGTCCCTACAACTATGGTGCAAGCTTGTGTGCTGCATGCACAGTGGTTCACTTTAATTCAATGCACAGTGTAAACAATTTAGATTATACTGGTTACTTGGCCCCCACCAATGGCGGTAAGCATTGTGATAACTATTGCACAGCTCTACTGTTCTGTGACAGTTACTCCATACAAACCCTAGCAACAAGCCGCCTCCCTTTTAAGGGGTCCATGGGAAATGTCTCATGATATGTTACAGCATTTGTCCATAAATGCATGGCCGCTTTCCATCTTAATAGAGACACTACATTATGGCTCTATGTGGACATGCATTACGCCAAATGGCAGTGACTTTAAGCGTCCTCTGTCACATTTCTTTCATAAATGAGGGAGTTCCCTCGTACAGAAAGTCGACAGTGGCAAACTTCCAACATCTAAGCTAGTCAGAAATCTCAGACCCATACAGACAGGAAGCACACCACAATACGAGCGGGCAAACCGCGGCATGGAGATTTCTGGGGGACGGGCTGGGGTTGGCCTGAATAAGAGCAGCAGGAAGTTGTAGATTATGGCCTCACATGAATAACCCCAAAATTGTTGGTGCACTTTTTGATGAGTGCTCTGGTGTTTCAACTGACTAGCCACTATATCCTGAATCGACATGAGCAGCAATATAGTCACTATATGATCAAAACTTCAAGGCATTGTCTTTAAATACTCTCTTACTACCATGCTAATCCCAGGCACCCAATATATGTGTCAGCGTACATGTATATGCATAAGCCTCATTATGGGACTCTCGGCCACATGATGTATACCCTAACACAAAGAGGAAATGCTAATTTTCTTTCTGTAAGGTATAAAAATGTACAGTTATTATTTTATCACCAAGTTCAAATACTGACACACGAAATGTGATTTTTTTTTTTTTGGTCAGTCAAAGTAGAATGGATGCGCAACAATGTTTCCTTAAACTCTTGAAACAAAATTGTCTCTTTTTCATGAAACTAAAATCACATGTACATTTCTTCAATCATTTGTAGTGCAGGTCAGTAGCAATGTAAGTGCCAACAAAATTCCTGTCTTTCCTTCGACTAACTCTTTTAATTTTCAACTTTTAAGTCAAACAGCTGGGAAGGGGCCTGTTCAACCTAAAATGGATTGTACCAAAATATAAAATGTGGCTAACCACCTTAAACCGTTCATTAAGTTTGACACCTCCACAATAGTTGCTATCAAGAACTACTGCTTTTAATTGTTGGTGTAAAATTTTACCCATGGTCTGACGGCACGTGCAGACTACCAGTTCGAAGTGGGCATCCTTACATGTAGGTTAAAAAAGCACACACTTAGTTTTGCAAAGCTAAATCTGCTCTAAGCGGGAACAAGAGAGGGCGCCTTTTTACATGGAAAGGATACCGGTAGTCCTTTGGTGGGAACTCATTGCGTGAGCATGCAGATGTATTCAAGCTTGGCATGGCGCCACACTGAGTCTTTGCAACCAATTTATGTTTGTATAATGTATGAAGTCTTTGCCTGTGTGCCGGGCACGTGCACAAGCTCATTTCCCACTGGCCTGTCTGTCATTTGCCAGTGAGGGTGCACTTCAATTCAAGATGGATAAAGCATGGCACATGTTGCTCACATGTTCATTTTCATAATCGGAAGTCAGAGTTGTCAGAACCAACCCATCCCAGCTCGTTGGCCAACACACTAGGCCTTGCCCTCTCTTCCCTGATAGAACCATAAAAGCGCACATCACACTAAGCTGTGGTAGTTACTTTCAGGACTGCAGGACCATTTGGCATAGGGCTGATTTGAAAGTTGTCCCTACACCTTCCTTAGGGACCTCCTAGTGTGGTCAAAGTTTACTTCACTGTGTGCATACATGCATGCTTAGCCATCCAATTTCCCACCCCCAACCCGGTCCACATAATCAACCATTTAACACAGACTTTTCTTCTGAAAAACCATGAGTCAGAACCAAAAATGACATGATGTCAAGAAATTTGATTCCCTCAAGGAACAAGAGGAGGGTAAAATGGTGTATAGGTGAAGGTCTATGTACACGTATTTACAAATCCGGATGTGTAGAATGTAGAGGCCATATTGCCACAGCTGACGATTTTTTTTAATCAGCATAATTTGTTATTTCCCTACGACCTTTGACGAAGCAAATCCAGTACATCCCTCGATGGCTGGTTAAAGGAACTTTCAACCTTCTAGCGAAGGGGATGGGCAGGGGGTGGGGCACGCTGTAGCCGACAGCATAACACCAATTTGTTCTCGGTCATGTAGAAGTTATCAAAATAATGACTAAGTCTATGAGTATGTGCGGCATCCCTCCTCGAGTATTTGTCATACCCTGTATAGAGGGGATGCATATTCCAATAACATGTAGGTCAAGTTGAAGGAAAGTGCACACAGGTAACCTTTTACCCTCAGTCGCCATCTTAGTCGGCACGGTGATGAAAGTCAAAGAACGAGGATGGTAGTCCATATTTTGCTCCTGCTACAAGTGCATCATCCCTCCCACACATACCGTATAAAGTTTTTAGAAAATATTTACAGCCATCACCTCACCTTCAAATCAATATGGCTGACTTGTGAATACCACCAATAAGACAGTCCAAATCATTGGGAAAACAGTCTCTTCACCTCACTGAGATTGCATTGAGTGCATCAAGCCTATTGATACTAACACACTTGAACACAGACCCCTTTACAAAATGCACCGGTGCTTTTGCAGCTACATGCAGATGCTTGCCCCAGACAGGCAAGCAAAAAATGGGGGGAAAAGGAGAGCTGGCAAACTTTGGAATTAACGACCACAGGACATTGTGAAAGGAGGGCAATGTCGGTCATGTGCCAAGGCTAGGGGAAGAAGAAATTTACCTACTTTTTTTTTAAAGTGAACTATATTTTTTGCATCCAATCAACTTCAACAGACGTCGTGAAGCTCTCACGTCAGTTCTTGATTTTGGGGGAAGTAAAACAGAAACTGAGGAAAACCACATTTCACTTGTTATGCCCTTTATCAGGAACTGACTTTTGAGTAAACAAGTACACCTAATCAGAAAGGTTAACTTCACCTTGTTTTTTTTTTATTCTAGTTTTGCTATGCTCAGATTCCATGGTGCGTGCCAGCTTGATTCTGGTGACATACATGTACATTTAGGGCAGACATAAACATGTTGACACATTTAAGTGGGAATTCGTGACCCTACCACAAATATTTGTACAGCCAATTTGCCGGAGTCAAACTCTGGGGAACATCCATGTGCAAGTTTTGTGACACGAATTTGGTCTGAATTCACCCTCGCCTTAGTGTGAACCTCTCAACACTTGCTATGTTGGTGTGTTGTACAGTATTTTGCCACCTGTTGTCAAATGTAATTGGTTTTCACTGTAAGTGGCAAAATGAGGGACCTGGCTACTATACATGTACGTTCATGAATGGACGTTAACAGAAGAATATCAGAAGCCATTATCAGTTGTTGGTTCATAGGTCACTCAGTTTATTCGTCAATGAGATACTTTGTCAATCTCCTTGATATATAAAGTCAGACAACAGCCAACATGCTGTTGTCCTTACAACCTCTAATGCAGAGTCTAGCAATTTCATCCTTAATTAACCTCTAACAAAAATATTTAATTAGGTGCGAATCAAGGATGCTGTAAAACAATGTTTAACACTGCATTCGATCTCACGAATACCACGTACCATACTAGTCATGTCCCTCTACTTGGGTATAACTGAAAATGGCACACATTCCTGGGAAAGACACGAAGTAGGGGCTGTGGCTATTTCCCATAGGCTTGCGTGCTAGTACTAGCCCTAGCCATTTGATTTGGACATGGACAGGAAATGGCACTCGGGGCATTGAAAGTATTCTGACGTATACAGCAGATTATTCAGCTTGTTGACAATTGTGTCATTTATGTGCTGAAAATAGAAAGTACCTAGTCACGGATTCAACATATCCTACACGTAAGTAGCACCCTGCGTGCCTAGAGAGAAACAAGGCAAAAATTTGGAGGAAGTAATGCACATGTATTTTAGGCATGTTCATTTGAGCTTAATATGAGGAACTACCTTTTTCGGAAATTTAGAGAAAACCTCATCCCATGGTTCAACGATTTTGAATTTTTTGGACAAAACTGACCAGGACAGGATTGTTGCATGGAACAATTATCTTGAAGGAAGTAAATTTCACGGAAACTTCCCCTTTTTTTCAACTTGAATTGTCAAGACATCAGGGCACACCGGGATGTCAGCAAGTGATACCCACAGCCTCCAGCTTGGGTGAAAAGACCACAAGAACTGAGTCGGCTCTAGGAAAAAAATATGTTATGCCAAGAACTGGTTGTTGACATATTTCATGCATGGCCTCCCAATCTATTCTCAAATACAAGGCATTTGTGGGATGGAGCGTGACTATGATGGCGCACCTGACTGGAGCACGAAACCTTCATTATGTACATGTATAAAGCAAAGTGACTTTCACAAGTGACTGTCTTAGGTTTGGATTATAAAGGTCACACGCAGGGATTTGGCAGGCACCCCTTTGCAATTAGGAAGTTGGCATCAAGGAACAAGAAACGACCACGCTACCGTACAGACCCACCGCGTACTTGGGACTGCCGTCATTGGATTATTGAATCCTTCCCCTCAATTGGAAACGAGCACGTGCTGACACTCTTTTGTGCCGGGGGAAGGATTGCAAAAATTAGACTGTGAGGCTTGGAGAAACTGGAATATGTAAAACAGGCATTTTTTGTATGGTACACATGTACATTCTATATATGTGTTTGCTCATTCCTCCAGATTTGGGTTTTGAGGTGCTTCTCTACAGGACATGTTCAAAGCAAATCTGCCACAAAAGTCTTGCTTTTGTTTTCAGAAAAGAAAGCATCAACTACTTATCTGCAGAGTCTCAATGTACAATGAACATTGCACACTCGTCTAATTTATCATGCACAAATGTGCATGTGTTGCCTCGTGTTGGCTTTGCCATAGCAAATAGACATGCGAAGAGAATAAAGCATTTTCCTGTCCTCGAGAGTGTTTTGTTTACAAACCAATCCCTGGAAGTGTATGTGCTTACCCACTGGGTGAGCACGATATTATAGGAGCAAATGACTTGTTCTATGAATGAAAGTTGGCTCCATTTATCTCTTTTGTGAGTGGGGCTCTGAAAAGAACCAGCAGTGCGTCTACACTTGATCCGGCGAGGACGATCAGATCCAGTGAGGGGGATCAGATCTAGATAAAAAATGTGTGTAAATGCAACGCAGGATCAGATCCTGATCCCAGGATCTGATCCTCCTCTCGGGAAGGATCAGTTCAGATCCCGTGTGCAGGATAAATTTAGTCAAGTCGTGGATAAGTTTGTAATGACCGTTTTCTAGTGGCTCCACACCGCGGCCGGTTGAGTTGAGTTTTGAGACAACATCTCAACGATGACGTGAGAAAAGTACAAGACGTACATGTACATGTATACAGTGCAAAGTACACCAATATGCAAGCTCAAGTTTTGTGCCTAATGGCTGCCGTTTTTCTCCAGTGCGCATGATCAGTGACCTGTTCAAATGACCTTTGCCCCGAGGTTGCATCGCTCTATCGATGCCACACAGGATAAGGATCCAGTGTAAATGCGGCACGGATCTGATTCCCCTTGCTTGATTGCTCTCGCCGGATCTGATCCTCCTTGCAGGATCAAGTGTAAATGTGGCGCAGGGGACTCAATGTTGCAAACAGTTCGCCCTGTCCATCATCAAGTTCTTGTTGACAAAGGAAGCTTGTTGATAAAATGGTTTCCATGTCCCCCCCCAAAAAAAAAATAGGTGCTGGGCCTCACCTAGCTGTTCGGCCAGCCCTTTCCAATTGTTGGCACCGTAGTTGCTACGATCCATGTCGCAGTTGAGGCAGAACTTGAGCCAGACGCTCAGGGGGAGACCCATGGTACTTCCCTGCTCATCTCCCTGAAGCATAGCATCTAAGAGCTCATGCAACTCCTGTTTCAAATAATACAAAAAGAGATTAATCTAAAAAATTAGTTACCATGGTAAATGGAAGCTGAATGGGAATTCCAAGTCTCCCAAGTGGGTTTCTATCCATCCCTAAATTGGCACGTATAACAGGAATGTTTACACTTTCGTATATATATGGACTAAGATTAATACATGTACATATATATTCGTCAGTTTTTACTTATTTTTAATGAATTAATTTGCAATGTATGCAGGACTCACAACAGAACATTTTAAACAGGAACAGGTAAGTATAAAACAAACAAATGCTGGAGCAAAAAAGTCTTTTTAATGCCTCTCAGTGCAGGGGAAGTTGGGGAGAATTGTAAGTGAAAATGAATTCATTGTTAGAAAAACTGGCACCAATATGTGGGAATCTATAGGGTACCGAAGAGTGACGTCATTTTGAACCAGGAAGTGTAATGCAAATGGATGGATCCTAAAGAAATTAGCACCTCATGCCAACAACTCGTAAGAGCAGCAGAGGTTAAGCCCCGGGATCATTGCTAATTCCTACAGCATCTTTTAATTTGCCCACACAATCATGCAGTATGTGCATGGTCAATTTATCCAGGACAAAGAAATGCATTAATGAGTCATTTGCACATAAACAATGAGTTGTGTGCGTATCATCAGTAACAAAAAATTCTCTCTATGTGGCTTGAATTTTAAAGCGCTCTCTGTAGTTCATGCCTGCAGTCCAATAACATTCAGTTTCCACACAAGTATCCTTCGTGAATATTCATGATGACCGATCTCAATTGACAAAGGGAAGTGCAGTACTGCTCCACACTGTTGCCTCAACGGCTTGTTGACCAGGTTGCCACACTTCTGTCCCAGTTAATACACACAATGCACAAGCCAGGCCCCCTTGTCGTTATCTTGGCTGAACACTGCTGACCGATGGGAAGGGGTGGACCCTTCCTCTGACACTTCCTCCAAACACCGGCCTTGGCGTGTTACATGCTCCATCAAAAGAAGGGGGAGGTGCCGGGGGAGAGCAGCTACAGTCCAGTTGTGCATGTAAATACAGTGAGACGCAGGCAAACACTGTCCACTTCAAAGGGCATGCTGTAAGGGCATTGGTGCAATGGAAGTTTTCAAAACAAATTTCCAAAATGTACCTTTGTATCTCAGTTTTGACCTCATGTTTATTTTTTGTTTCAATATTTCAAAGGGCACTTTGCTGCATTTGTTTGTTTTTATGCTCTTGAGTATTTCTGTATTCATGAACAAAACTCTGACATCATCCCAGGAAGACAACCTCATTGTTACACTGCTTTGTATCCAAAACAGCACTTTGAAAGATTTTGTTGGCCTCAAGTTTCTCTTCTCTGCGGATTCATTCCTGATTATTAATACAATGCATAGCAATATACAAGCATTTAACCCTTGTCTCAAAATGCTTTCAGTGAGTAAATTCTGGGTTCACAGTTGGAATGAAAACTGTTGTACATCGAACCATGTCTTCCCTGGATGACATCATCAAGAGTGCCCTCATTTGGACAATTTCAAAGGTTTAAACAATTTTCCTTTTCAATGCAGTTAACCTAGATGGGGTGTAAAACGCTGGAAGTTTCTGTACTCTGGAAGACCATGCAGTTGCAGAAAAATTCTGTCCAAGGAAAATTCATTGCACCCACACTTTGAACACAAATGTCAATCGGCACTAATTGTAACTAAGACGGCTTTAAAGAGGATGCTCTTGGCTTGATGATGCATACCAGCAATTCCCAGCTCAGAGTGGAGACTGATAATGGTCGGTAATCCACAGATCTAGGGACCATTATGACTAGCTGGATTCTTACCCTGTTGATTCTCAGATTTCTGATCAAATATCTCCCCCCCCCCACGGAAACCACAAGGCCAATTTAAAACAAGTGGTGTATGTAGTGCTTTCCGTTCAGTAGACTTAGATAAGGCAGTGGCCATAGGGGTATATCTTCTGTAGCCAAGTTCAAGGTCATGTCTGCAATCTACCTGTGCCTTAAAAAAGCAAACCTACCAGTAATTGACTGGGGTTGCCACCAGGGCCAGGTTTTCCTCTAGCCACAGGATGCACTATGCCCAGGGTTTGAAATATTCCAGGGCCAACAAAAAGGTTGAGGTACATGTACATGAAATTTGTGTAGGTGTGAAATAAAAAGATAAACAGTATCACGCACACACAAGGAAAGTTTTGGCATCTCTCTTTGGATTTTCAATTTTGTGAAAGCTTCAAACTAGCTTGCTCACAGCTTAGTCCAACTTAGCATCGGACTCAAAATGAAAGGCTCGAGGGCTATCGAACACTATGAAATGGTGCTTTTACATGTACATGTACCTTGGGTTGAGCACAAAACCTACAGAATTTTAGTCTAGGGCCTATGGAGCACTGCTTAGGGCCTATTTGTATTGGCACTAAGCAGTGATGTCTGGAGACCATGAAACATTCCACTCTGGTTGCGGCAACAGTGAGTTATGAAAATTGGTAACGAGGATCGCTGTGCAGATGGTCGGACTGACCCTCTTTATTCCTTCCTGAATAGTCAACATGAACCCTGGGCCTCAAAAAATGTAGTACCAAAACAACCCAGGGAACAGACCCAACTGACCACGAACTCAGAAACTTGTCTGTAAAGATAAATTAAGGAGGCAACAATGGATGCACACCTTTAAGGCCTGTTTCTTTGAGGAGGCAATGGTAGTGAGTGATTAGCAGTTTGTATATAGGTTGTGTACATTAAAAAAATTTCAAATGGGGGTCACGGGGGGAGGGGAAGAGAGACAGTCAATAGGAGGGGGATAGACTGCCACTGGAAGGGCGTGTGGTTGCAACACTTCCAACCAGACTCAGACGAGACTTCAGGTACCAGTAAATAACAAACTTCTCTGGTAATGACTGGACAGCTTCTGGATACTCTCTTTTGATCTTACAATCAAGCACCAAAGTCCAAACCATGATCAAATTTCTGAAACTTGAATTTCACAGTACCACGTAATATTTCAATACACTTTTTAATAAATGCACATGTACTTGGGAAAGAACTTCGCCACAACAATGTTTGTTTGCCTTCACCTCTGACCTCACAAGGCACACAGAGAGAAGGTGACATGTTCTTTATCAAACTGATAATACCACAAAACCGCTCAGAATCACTGGCCTCTTAAAATTGGACCAGAAAAACAAAAGCGGAACAGGATGCAGAATGCCGAACAGTGATTTCTGCACTTCCCGTCTGCCAAGGTTTCAATACCGCCCTCTCTTCCCATGAGCTGTACCTGAGCAAACAGAAACTAAAAACCTTCTCCAATTCTCCTGATCGACAGTATCAAAACCCATGGGTACATGCCATTACATGACTCTTGTCTTCCTCCTTTAGAAGCTGCTTTGAATTCAAAACACGTCAATTGGCGTTCCAACGAGAGGAAGTTGGAAGGCAACGTGCAGGCATTCTGTGAAGTCCCGGGGTAGCTTCGGGGCACCGCGGGCATGCCATTCTAACTCATGCCCGCCTGGCCTGCATCCTCATTTACAGGAACGGGCCCTCGTTGGAATGGCTTCCCCCTTGCGGAAGCTCAGTAGCTTAGCTTGGGGAAATTAGAGAGAGGAAGCTGATTAGCAGATGCAACCTGGTGTCAACACAGCTCGGTAAAACCACAAGACTTGGGGAGGGGGGGTCGGCAGCTCAGATCTGACCAGCCACAGCAAGTTTTTAAACCCTTCTTGTTGTCTAGACAATGTTGATACATGGTCCCTCTCCTAAGACTGCAGCTTTAAGTGTTTTAAGCCCCAAACTCTGCAATAAGCTGGGCGTGTATGTGTGAACAGCCACTCATTTATTCCTATTAAGACCAAAGACCTGGATCTTTCGAGGGACTTATCCACAATGGCAGCATATACAAACCAACCATGGTAAATGCTGACTTCTGAAATTTGCATGGCAACAAATATTTTTCCCATAAAACCTTCCTCCAGCCATTTCATAAGGATTGTATGTCAGTAGTTAGTATGGTGAATCACTTAAAAAGTAGACTTTGGTTTGAAAATGGTGACGCAATATTACAGGAATTTAAACAAAACTGGTACGTATGCTTAGGACTCGAGAATTAGCATATCTAGTACCAGGTCAGGAAATGGAAGGTTTACACAGTTTTTAGTACATTTTTATAGGGAAGTAGTACCCAGAAATTGGGTCAAGGTAGGAGTGGAATGTCACGGAACTGAAAAAGAAATATCTATCTTCACATAGGTGAAAGTAATGGATTTTCAAGATATTGTAGTCAGAAACAGGAATATAGTATAAAACGGCTGTTGCTACAGTTTATCTCTTTTGGTCAAGTTGAAGGAGAGAAAGCCCTTGGACTGGTGGGAGCTTTCAACCAAAATGCCATCCAAGGAAGAATTAAACCTGGCGGGAAACCATTTACTCCGAGTAACATTATTATATGTTACACAGGGAGTGAATGGTTTCCCGCCACGTGTGTACATGTACATGTGTACACTTTTGTAGACATAGAAACACTCTGCTGCTGTTTTCAACTTGCACAAGGCACTGGATATCCTTACGGGAAGTCCAATTTACAACATATCCATTGCATGTGATTCCAAACATGTGTTTTGCAGTCATGCCTTGGTGTGCCTTCAGACATACATGTACATGTACACATAAGAGGACACAACACACACCTGGAAAAAGTGTCAATTCACCCATTAACTCCAACCCCATGTATGTACATGTGCCTATATAACATACATGTATATGTACATGTATATTCAAGTACAGAGAGCAGAAATTTTTGTCATCTATAAGTACAAGTCGTCCAGTAGATTTGTAGCACATCAGCTGTACAGTGTCTGCCAAAGATTTTGCAACAATTGGTGGAACATCCTCATTTTGTCTGATTCAAGAAACCTGGTGCAACGATGCATTTTTTCAATATTTGCAAACAGATCTCTGTCTGCCTGCGCGTACCTTGACATCTGGCCATCAATCAAAACAAACAGGAAAACAAATACGCTGCAGCAAACGTAAGGGACTGTGTGAGAGGTGAATTATTACAAAAAGTAAGTACTCCAAAGTGGTCAAATACGAAGACCGGGGTCATGTGCAAATTAGAAGGGCTGGTACCAGGTACTGCGACAATAACCCAAGCATTTGTAAAAGGGACCCTGTATTTTTGGAATTTACATGTATTTAAGGCTTCCCGGAAACGTGTAAAAAGTTTGCATAAGATGACCTTGCGTACAAGCAAGTACTGCCTTTGTTGACACAAAAGCTTGCAGGAAAAGTTGTCATAAATCTGGGTTGCATGTGACTCGCACCCCCTCCCCTGCCATGTAATTTTTACGGGTACATCTCAGAATTGCATCACTGTATTTATTCCTTATTTTCTAAATTCCTGATTATTCCAAATCTCTCATCACAACTCTGCCAAATCCTCAGAAATTCCAAAGAGGTCCTTGAGGAATTTATTTTACTGGATTGAGGACAGTAGAACAATTATGACTGATATTACATGTAACGCAGGGCTTCGTGTCTCTTAGAAATTGAACGGTACAAAGTACATGTAGTTGCATTCATTGAATACAGAACAGTCTTGTGCTGTGAGGTTGAAGGTCGACCTTAATTTTTTTCTGGTTCAGATGCCAGTGAAACTCTGCGCAGCCAAAATGTACATGTACCTGTTCCTCTCTGGCACGGAACAAATTGTTTGCCGTTCATGTGTCAGACCCAAAGCAAAAAAAAAAAAAAAAATGAGTACAAATCATGTGGTATTGAAAAAATCTCCCCTCCCTCCCTCCTTGGGAGAAAAAGTAATTGGTGAAAGTGCAAGCAAACCACAGTAAAAATTGAATCAGGGTTTGCGCCTGGGGTGCCCGCCTAGAAAGAATGATCGGGAGTTAATGTATTAGTCACCACATTCATATTAACTACCATGCACATGTGTTCACATGCGTGTACATTCATGTACTTGTGTTTTTGATGGATGAATGACTCCATGGGTTATTTTGGGATGCTGGCACAATTTTGCAGTTAAAAAAAAAAGGTCACTCAAAGGTGACTGCATCAAGACACTTTCATAACAGCAGAGCAAAGTTCAGGTGTAGAAGACTGTATGTACATGTATGCATATACACTTATGTGTATAAATATAGCTGAGTCATGTTCATTTTGTACTATACTGGTAGTGCAAGGGCTCATGGGCCCATGGACTATTTGCATGTAATATTTGCCTATGTGTTAAACAAAAATGGAATGTAGGTAATTTCAACTGAATGTACACAGTCTACGGTATGTCAACTTTGCATACATGCACCCTGCAAGCAAAGAATGGTTCAAATGGTTCCAGACATCAAGGGAAACACGTCAAACAGGAAATCAAATTCATGTGTTCAGACATCAAATTAGAATGACTAGTTATTTTTGGAGGAGACCAAACGCTGCATAATGTAACAGTAATACCACACCCCTCCCCCCCAAAAATGAGTAAAAAATGAACTATTGGTGTATGCACATGCATACCAATGATGCCTGACAGGAACAATTTAGAAAAAAGTCCAAACCAGTCTTATGTGTATAAAGTACACAGTACGTGCAGGTACTCATATGTAGCACGATCTTCAACAATACTCAGTTGGGCATTCGATGCGGCTAAGAACACTTACAGTGTAGTTTCCATTTATTTCCACTGTGCAAGATTTGCTTAAGGGCTTCAGTGTCCATAAAAAAAGGTACCGTCAACTTGCAGCCTATTTTTTTAAAATTTAGTCCTGCACTGTCTTCACATCTTCCAGGTAAATTTATCCAAAGCTCATTAACGGAGAGTACATTTCTTTGATATCCTCAATCCTCAGATTAGCTTTTGACAGGAATGTTTACTTCCCCCATTGACAATACATGAGGGAACACAGAAGATCCTTTGTTGTAAACGTTTCACGTTGAAGTCAGTGTGTCCTGACCAAATCTTTTTTTTTTTCGTAGAAACACCTCCTTCCAAAGTTATGAAACGTCTGGTTTTGGACTCGGCTGCCACAATTGCACATCTGCATAGACTTTGAATGGCCTATGTAACAGTCTGCTGAGGGGAAGTACCTTCATACCACCGATGTATAGATTTTTTTGAGGGGGGGTTGTTGTTTAGTTATAAAAGATGGTGAACGACTTTCACACAAAGGTTTATGAACAACAAATGGAAACTGGGAATGCTTTATAAAAACACAGAATACACAGGACCATCCTTTCAAAGCGATCTATTACTTAAGAACAGCAAACCCTTTTCACATCTGAAAACTCTGTTCTACATGTACATGTAGCTACCTAAATACTCCTTCAAAATTGTAAGGGGAACCATTCTGAAACAAATGACAATATGTAAACCAAAACCGGATAGGCTGCCAAACCTTGAAACCACCCTCCTCCCAGTGAAAAAAGGGAATAGATAATGCTTAAGTGGATTTGGATACATTGGGAATTAGGACGTAAATTAAAATAAATGGCATACATGTGTTAAGGTTTGCCGCTGGTTTTTTTTGGGGGGGGATAACTGATTTTGTTGTCAAGAACAAACTGGTCAAATATTAATCTGACATGCAAAACCAGTGAACGTTGGGTCCATAACCAACAAGTTTTCCCTTTTTCTCTCTGTATTGCCAACACTTTTTGAGTATGATTCAACTTACCATGGAATCACAGCTTTTGGGAGAACTGTACTCTGGTCTGCTGGTTCTGGTCAGAGAAAAGAACAGGGGTATTAGCCAAAAAAAACCAAACTAAAACAAAAATTAATGATCTATGAAAACAAAAATACGGTACATGTACATGAATGAAAAGAGTAATTCTTGACAAATCAAGGCTATCACTCTAGCCCAATAACAGATGTACAGACTTTGGCTACCATCCAGAAAAGTTGGCGAGAAAACTGTACATGTAGTTGGCACTGCATTAACCTCTCGCTGCCGGGGAACCCCGTTTTTGAGCATCATGGGTTTATACGAAGAGCCGGGGTGCCCAAAATGGGACAAAAGAGCTGGTCCGTGTAACAAAAGACCAAACTCGGAACAAAAGACCTGGTGCTGGGACTTGCCATCACTTTTCGGCTTGCATTTTTCGAAGGTAAACCATCACTGTTTTTAAACAGCATACCACTGTTTTGGGCATAGCGCGCCAGTGGATTAGCACCGTGGACAAAAGTGCTCCAGGGCCCCACTTATGAACGCCACAGCACCACTGTATGCTAATCCAGCTTAGAGTAGCACCAAACAGTCATTCGTGTGGGTGTAAACATCCATTAAACGAAATGATGAATTTTTGAAGAATTTTGAAAACTGAAACTGTTGAAAATCACCCGTACCAGTATGTGTGCACTGCATTTTAAAAGCACCCGGCAGCATGTGGTTAAAAAAGTTTGTTGCTGCAAAAATATGCATTCAGCTCAAACTTTGGCAACAGTAGATAAGTTACAAGCTGGAACCCTGGTACACATTTACATGTACATGTACAGTGTACTTTCATTGAAGAGAAACTTGGAAAGTTTTGTTTTGTTTCCAATTTACTTTACTTGTGGCTTCTTTTGGCATGACTTCTGTTTGTTATAACTACTGTTTGGTCTTATATTGTAACAATATACTTGTCTTGAAAATTATCTCACATTAAAAAAATTGTTGCATCAAACAAGAGCTTTAGGAAAATATAGAAAATAAAAAATAGAAACAATAAAAAGCAAGGTTTGGCACACGTTTAGAATATTCCTTTCATATACTACCGGTAGCAAATGTACATTGTGATTGTTCATTCATCAATAGTTATGTGAAAACATAATTCATGGCTTTCGTTTTGAAAAGTTTTGCAGAAATTTGCTGACCCTTTCCAAGCTCTTCCACTGCTGAACATGAATACCATAAAACGAGCATTATTGGAAAAATGGAAAACAGAAAGAAAAAACAGTGCAAACACATGTAAGCTTTGCTCAATTTGTTATGACAACTGGGGAAGTTCCACATTGACATCTTGGATGACTGTTTGTTTGGATGAACTGCATCATGTCATAAATGTTTGCAGTTGTTCTTGGCACAATTTCAACAGCAAATTGTGGTTGACCACACTCCCCGTAATTCTAAGTACATGTACATGTATGTATGCTCGTTGACAGTTATTGAACTAGATAGTGGGCTAAACACAGGTCAGATGTAACCCCACGTGGCTATTAAAAGCAACTTATATCGAGAAACACATTTTCATATCAATGGGTAGGCACAAGGCACACTGACCAACCACAGGTCTTGGTCAACCTTGCCCTTGGATTTCCGCTTTCTAGGGCCACATTTCTAGGTCACTCATGTCTAGACTTCCTGAGCTGAGGAATACTGTAAGGCTGATAAGACTTGACTTACCTGGATGTTGAAGGAGGCTGTGGGTGACGAGGGGGAATAGGTATGGGGTTGACCGAAGGATTCAGTGAGGGATTGACGTAGATACTTTTGTCATGGGCAACGTTAAGGTACAAATTTTCTCCATCGTCATCGTCATCATCAATGACTTTCGGGCTGGTCAAGCTATCCTTGGACACATTAATATACTCCTGTTCCATTGATTTGTAGTCTGGGTCTATTCTGCCTGTGTCAACAAAGTGGTGATTGTGCGGGAGTTCCGTGGGCACCGAGAACGAGCGGCTGTAGCCAGGTACTTTGGCCTGAGTGCTTGAGCAGCCATTGAGTGATATGACACTTGTTCGGATCGGGCTCTTCTTCCGGGACTCAGTAGAGGAGCTCCGGCCCCGCTCCTCATCTGAGGAAAGTGAGGAGGAACTCTGAGTGATGTCCATGGAAATGAGCTCGCTGCTGGCGATGCTCGACATGGAGTCGCCAATGGAGTCAAAGTCGTCCTGCCTGGGCCAGCCGGGCTTGTCGTTGGTGGTAGGCGACGTCGGTACCGGCGGCTTGGGCAGGGGGAGCTGCACTGCCGAGGTGACACGCACTCCGTTTTCGGGGACTTTCCTCCGGGGAGTTGGAACAGGTGGTCCCTTTTCCGCAACAGAGGGGTCCTCCCAGGCATGATCCCCTTCAAGCACATGGAGTTTGCCCGTTGAGGCAGATATGCCCTTCTGCAGTTTACTGCTGCTAACTGCACAGTCCGTCCAGCTGGCATCTGATCGGACAGCCGGCCCTGTGCTGTTGGCGCACGATGTAGTCCTAGGGGGGATGACGGGGAGTGCATTCTGGCCTCGCCCCGTCTCTGGCTTGCTGTCTTCTGCAACCACACCCACCGGTATGATCTTGATCATTGGGACGGTCATCCCTTTTGAGTCCGTGGCTTTACCCAGTGCTATGGGACAGCTGCCGGCCACTGGGGACTTGAGCTGGCAGTTTATCTGGTTCTTGTTCATCAAGGAGTTGATGTCCATGTGGATGTTCTCTCCTGTCGTGTTGTCGATTGGAGAGATGGAGGCTGGCCGCTCCTGAGGAGAGACTGAGATTGGCAAGACACAATTAGTGAATTTCTCCACTGGGTCCGGTTTCATAGATCTGGGCCCAATATCACAGTACTGCTTAACATCCAATTTTGTGCTAACAGAGCCTCATTCTAGTTCATAGAGGCTGTTAATCAGCAAGTACACGGACATCACAAGCAAGCTTAACACCATAGAAAAAAGTGCTTATATCAGTGATGTAACAACACAAATCTCCAAGGGTGTACTACTATTAGCACATCGACTCCATGAAACAGTGATTCAGCACCAACATTGTTTTCTGTTAAAGCAAGTAAAATTTTGTGTTGTTAAGTGGTACTGTGAAATCGGGCTCTGCTAATCACAGATATGCTCTAGGCACAGAATTATTTGCTTAGCAAAATTGTGCTAACAGCCCAAATGCCATATAAATGTACATGTATTCTATGCTTCTTGCCAACGGTACCCTCTGCTGATGTTTGCTTGAGCCAGTAAAATAGTTATGCTTCCTATTTCCCTACTTACCCTATTTTGCCGTCCAATTTTTAGGGGGCGATTTTGGCAAAATGTGAAATTGGAAATGGAGAAAAACTAGGCGGCTATTGTAGTTTGAGTGTTGAGCAAAAGTTTTCCCACTCCTCCAAAATCCTCTGAAACTTTCCCGTGAAGTTTGCAAGTTCTGGATGGGTTCTACAGTCTACATGAGCTTAAAGAGTGTGCTGAAACATGTCAGTCTACATATTTTGCTGTTCTGATCACAAGCCTGTATTATATGCTAATATCTGCACAGCCACTTCTAACTGGTACCTGCCACCGTACACCAGTGCACTTTCAGTCTTTTTGTTACATTCCCGACCCTCGTTTTTCAACAATTCCAACTACACATTCATAAAAAGTCACGTTGAAACCTATTTTAAAACACACTTGTCTACACAGCACCAAGAGGCCCTTACCAAGTTTCTTGAGAATCTATGTGAAAACTTAGTTTTAACCAACAAGAAGACTTACCAGTTTTGATGGGGTTTGAGGATACTATGCCAAGACACTGAGTACGGAGATTCTCAATGCCTTCTTTGATCCTGCATGCAAAGCGTTCCCTTTCTGTTTTAACCTCATAGTAGTCTGCAGATGAGAAACAAAATCTTGCTTGGTCTTGGTAGTAGCATACGGATCATCAATTTAAGTACTTATACGTCAAACTTAGAGTCAAGACCACATTTTGCAAGCTTCTCAGATCTATTATAACTATAAACTATGGTTGCTTCAAATGGCAAAGTTTTGATGACAATGAAAATTGCTGAAGCATTCGGTTTTTCATTTCTCTATTGATGTTTATCTTCAAAAGATTGGTACTGAAATGGTTGAATACTGCCAAGTAGGGTCGGGTCAGATCTGATTGGGTCAAGTCTGACTGAACTGTTAGGTTAGGTCGGGTTGGGTTAGGATACTTGGGCTGGGTTGATTCAGGAGGTAGTTGGGTTGTGTTGGGTTTGAGTTGGGCTGTATTGGTGGAAACATGTTGGGTTAAATAAGGTTAGTTCAAGTTAGGTAGGTCTGAGTTATGTTGAATCCAGCCGGGTCAGGTCAGGACAGCTCCAACCACATTTGGCAAAGCTACATGTAGGTAACATGATACATGGTCGGCTGGCATACGGTTAGTTTTAGATATTACATGTAGTGAGATGAATACAGTATGTTCCATGATCCTTTTTTGTACCAAAGTCTGGGTGCACATGCCCAGCTTAGAGAGTTCAGCTCCTGATGGCCATGTGATACAAACCTCCATTGCTGGTGTCTTTTGTCACATTGAAGCAGAGCCTGGTGCCGTCGTAAAACACCTGTTCTATGGTGTCCAGGTACAATCGGCAGTAATGCCTAGGTGGGTTGAGGTAGGCAAAGCAAACGCTGGCCCTGTTGAGATGGAGCGTCAGTCCGCGCTCCTTGACAAAGCTGTTGGGACCCTTCAAGGGCGTGACCATCCAGCTCTCTGTAAACCGGGAGAAAAAATAATATCCAATACATTCACCTCTAGTTTGCTTTTCTCTTGCAGAAACCTTGCAGAAATCCATGAACTGTTCCTCTGTACAGCACACCACTGGCCATTCTACATACATGTACCTCAACTTTCACAGGGCACAAAGCCTCACGTAAAATTAATAACTACTGGGCTCTACCTTTCTCAAGCCTGAAAAATCCCCTAAAACCTCCTGATGGATTCAGCAAGATCCGGGAAGGTTAAGAAAATTGTGCTCATGACTGAAACCTCAAGGTACACGGTAGGAAGAGGTCTTTCACACAATCCAACATCATGATGGAAGAGAAGGGTTTGTACATGAATAGGGTAGTCGAAGGAGAGGCCATTAGTGCAGTGGCTTTAACCAGCAGTGAAACTGCATTCATGCACTCATGCTTGAGCTTGATGCATGCACAAATTTGGGCAAGTTCTGAGATTCTGTTAATTGAAGAGACATAAATGGCGTGCATACCAACTACCCACAAACACCGCACCACCGCAGTCACGGCTTCTTAATCTGGTTGACAAATCAGTCTGTACACTTGCCTGCTGAACTTATGTTATAACACAAAATACTTTGCGGCGCAATGGAAAAGTTTATCTCAAACCCTACATGTACATTTAATCCCACTTTTCTTCCAAGCCCACCAATAACCCTGCGAAGGTAACCAACTTACGATGATTCCAGAAATCCTTGAGTATTTTGTCCCACTTCTCAAAGGTAGAGACGGTCTTGTTGCTGTTATGGCTGTCTTGGAAGAGCAGGGTCTGGTCGTGGACTGTGATGATGGCCCAGTAGAGGGCTGGCGTCTTCTTGTTGTACTGCTTGACCGAGCCCCGCTCTGTGCCGATGAAGTTCTCCCGGCCCAAGGTGTAGGCCTGCTTCTCGCAAGCCTCTTTCTCACTCCGGAAGAGCCGCAGTGTGACAGACTCTGCAAGACAAATGGATGAGGATCTCATTTCACAAACTACTGGGCACATTTTGTCCACGCAGGATTACCACGCTAACTACATATTTATCCTACATGCACGGAAATGAACATCATGCTTTAAGCTTACAGCGACAGATGTCGTGTGCTGACCCCTTAAGCACAAAATTGCATGTTACAGAATCTAGCCTCAAGCCCACAAGCTAAACTTCTTTGCTAACTCTGGACAAATATGTTGTTCTAGTTGGCAAATGTTCTTTAGAATATCCACAATTTGAGGAAAGTCCTGCAGTTTCAGCATTTGGGTACAATGACATTGTTGGCAAGGTTTTTAAGATACCACATTGTCTCACTGTGTGCATGCCCCTCCCCCCAAAAAAAACCCAAATTGGCATTGCTGTTTCCCAAGTTTAATTTTGGTAGTTTAAGTAGTTATTCCTCAAAACCTTAAAAGTGGAGTAGCAGTGAACATTTCAAATCCACGGTAAAATCTACACAAACATTAGAAGTTAGCAATGCATACATACCACGGTCTGCTGACTGTTCAAGAACTGCCCATCTCTGAAAACAGTTATAAAAAATAAATGATTTACTTTTGATAGTCCATTAATATCTTTACAGTATATATAAGTCTGTAGATCCCTTTTCGAATGCATGTAGTTTGTGTGAAATTTTTTATTGTACAAGAAAAACGTAATACCGGTATGCCATTGCTTTTAAACAGTTCCCTTGTGATTTGAATACTCAGGGTACAGGTACATTTTATGTGTTTATTCTGCTAGATAAAAAACAAGCTGCCCTTAAAAAAAATTTTTAAAAACACCTGTTGCAATGCAAGCTTTCAGTCTTTAAAGTTCTACTTTTCTTTTCATGCATGGAAATATGCATGTGTATTGTATGTACTGGAGTGCACAGTACTGTATTAACCACAATGGCGCATGCTGTCCATACAATTATTGCTGGTATGCCATAACCACAAGACGTGTATTATTTTGCCCTGTGTTCATGTTACTGCTTGAAATACATGTAGATGGCACGAAGGAACCATACACCGCTTGTACACATATGTGTACATGTACTGCACAGTACACGTACATACATGTATGTACTAATGTGCCAACGAAAGGGCTTCTTAATTTACGGCTTCCTCTCACAAAATAACCTCATGTGCATTCATGTACACATACACGTACATACATGATACACCACTTTTTCAACAAGACAGAGAATTTTCTAAAAATGACAGATTTCCAATCTGGACCATCAGATTACAACATGGGTTTCAAGTTTAATTGACTGAGCCTGCTGGGTAATATTAATGACGCATCACCATGACAGCATTCAAGGATTTCTGAGTAGGCCTAGATTTGTAGTATTCATTACGACAAGAACCCATAAATAGAACTGAACACTATCAACAAATTTGGATAACGATACACCATCCTCATTTTTGTTGGAAACCACCCACCCGTCAATTACATGTACCTCTATGTACAGTATGGGCTGTAACTCTACAGGTATCTTCACTGTTAAGGTAATAATGCAGTCCGCATTTCCCACTTTTCCCTCCCACCTATAATTAAAAAAGGAAGTGAAGATCGCATCCAGCTTTTATTTAATGTACAGTTAGTTCATCGGGTCATGCAGTGTCCCAAAGTCTCCCACATTACAGATTATTAGGTTTTAAAGAGTGAGATCCGACTCCCCTCCCCCCTACACACACACGAGATGGCTAGGGGCACACCCTTACTCGCTGTGCAAGTTAGGAAGGGAGGTATAGCTATAATCAGCAGGGTGCGCGGCTGTGCTTTGCTAATGGGATATCCTGTCATGTCACTTTCTGATGACTGCCTGGCTATCTGAAGGATGCTGCATGTGAGCATAGCCCAAATGTTCATCATGTCTATGCAGAATATTACTGCCTACATGTTTCTAATTACTGTACATTCAAGCACACTGTGGGTGTGCACTGTACCGTGTGTGTGCATGTCTAGGCAGACCTTGACTTTTACATAATTTTGTACATGGACATGCTAAATGTGCGTACACGTTGAATTAAACAGGATTCAGGAAACAGGTACGGTGCTCCTGCCTCAACCTAAATTTCAGAACACTCATAAAACTTGTTGCCTATTTGAATGTACATGTATACATACACAAAAGTTTTTGTGCCACTTTTTTGTTGCTTGGCCTGAGCGACTTTTACTTTGGATAATAGCTACCAGTAGTTCACCACCAAGGACAAGGCACCAACTTTTCAGGGCAACTGTGCCACACTGAATAACTTCCTGTACAATGTACATTTTCCATCCATTTGTATTGAACTAGTCTACTTTGAGAATTGTAAAGCAGTCGTACAACTCTTGTTGTTAAATACCTTCAACACAACGGCGGGATTTACAGGTTTTTTTGTCTGTCATTTGAGCAAAGGTAAACTGGGTGGGTTGCACAGGACTGGCACAGTGTCTGATGAGAAGCAATAAGAAAAAACTGCTACGGTGTGTATTTATCTATTTACACTATGCATCAGCTGGTTTTAAAGTTTTTCTGGGAAACATTTTCACGGGCAGTACATGTAGCTTCTGTAGTTTTCACATAAGGTCCCTGTGTTGATCCAGTTTTTCTGTCTACGGTACAGTATATCTTACTGTTCTTTGGATGTTTTTCATTTTACTTTAAACTTTGGAGAGGTGACAACAGGCAGCTTTCAATTTTTAGATCTGATAAAGTTAATCTAATCCAATCTAATCTAATCTAATCTAATCTTGAAATCGCAGAACTGCACTTATTACATGTTATTACATACAGTGGACAGGACAGGATTGTTTACACTGAATTATTTAATACCTTTAAAATGACCAACATGAGGAAATCAATTTGATAATTTAAGCTTAACTAAACTTCACCTTCTTCTTTTGAAGGTCCTTTTAGGGTCCTCAAATATCATTAAAACTGATTTTATGGCTATCATCTAAATTTGACATAGTGCAAATAAATGTTAGAAATTAAAAACCTGAAAAACGGTTGTAAACACACACTGAAACAGTTCACTTTGCCAAACAACCACCATGAGGGAATATTCCTCAAGTATGTGTCTGTGTACACGTACATGTACTTCCTTCAAATTCACAAAGGACCATTCAAAACCAAAACAGGAAGTATGTCTTGACATCTCTAGGTATACAAACTCCATAACCTTCAAATGCACAGATTCTTTAAAGTCTCTGTCTGCCAATAATGCAAGATAACAATGTTAAACCATATCATAAAAACTAGCCAGTAGCAAGTTCTGGTTTAATTTCAACAGCAGAAAAGAGTTCTATTGTGTGGAATTTTTAAAGTTTTTAAAATCTAAGTTCGGATTTGTTGAGTGTGCTCTTTACACCTTAGAAAAAAATGCCTTCATCTCATCAAGTGGTTTTCAACTAATCTGAACTGGAAAACACAGCACAATAACTGACATGGGTAACGACCGATTATCTGATTGACTGGATAAACTTTGCAGCATAAATTGATCATGTTTTAACATACTTGCTTACCATCACAAGGGGTGACGGGCAACAAGAGGTCTATCCTCCCACTGGTACACACAGAACATTGATAGGTAAAAGCTAAATCCACGCTGTACTGATTTCACAAGGCACGTAGGAACGCTGCCCAGGTGAATATGCGTTTTTGCAATATATTCTTTCTGACAACACACCCCTGCACTCCCCATACAATACTAGTATGTACATGTCTAACCTTTACAAATTGCACCATAATTGCATTTCCACCAAACTCTCTTGTTATAATCCCCGCCAGGCACCGCACAACTTTCGATCAACCATTTGTGGACCTCCTAGCAAGTGCAATAGCCCGTCCCCCTTTCCACAAGAAATCCTTCCCCTTCCCATCCTTTTGACATAAATCAGAGGAAAGGGTGTATCTTCTCAGGCTTTAGTGAGATTAGGAGGCAATCAGCTGAAGGGGGGGGCTTGCATCATTATCAAAGAGCTTCATGAGAGTTCCCTGAACTAGTCGCGGGCGTTGGGTGTCTCAAAGGATAAAGTTAAGCTGCAGAAAGTGAGCAATTTCGTGTTTTTTTTTTTTTTTTTTACTGTCAGTGCTTCTTAACCTCAACAGTAATACTAAAAAAATGACTGTAGAACTAGATAACTGTGTGCAAAAAATCTTTCTGAGTTCAGTCCTTTGTTCAGTTGAATTGATAGAGAGGCTAGACTTGCAACCAGGGGACAGGCAAGAGTATCAAATGTGCAAAAAGGAATGTCTTTCTACAGTTCATCTGAACAACGTGAACTTGAAATGCGAATCATGTCTAGAGGTGAACGGGTGAGGACTCAACACTACATGTACATCCTGAATCCTAAAATAAGCCAACATACCAACCAACAAATAAACATCACTGAGTAAGAACATTCCTTGTACAATGCAACAGGGGTTCATCCAACCCCGAGTAAAGTTACAATGGTTCTAATGTTCCTAAGCTTGTAATGCACATGTACATGTACATCCTACAAAATCCTACTAAACCTCCAGCAGATTTTGACAGAACTAGGCCTATCTGGGAAGGTTTGAGGACGAGGGTACAGAATTGATTTATACTGTAGGATTAATCCTAATAGTCCTCAATATTCCAATTTTAATATGACATTACATAAACCCTAGAGAATAGTTTGAACTCAAATAATGCAAAGTTTAAGACGACAGCAGCGTAGACAAACACACTACACAAGTAGAAGGCAAACTCCTCTCTTTAGAATCTCCATAGCTACACGTGCAACGGATGATTTTTCTTTTTTGAAGTTAACAACCTGTATTTGTACATTAGCTATGGTAAAAAGAAGTTAGGCACAAATTTGACATTCCGACTTTTCTGTCTTTCTGATGTGAAGATTTCGCCAACTTTCATCTTTTTGAAGATTACCCCAATGTTTACTTGGACAATACGGGACAGAGCGATCCCTAGGAAGAGAATTCCCACGTAATGTTTATCAAGACCGGGCAACCACACTGTGACAAAAAGGTCTCCAAATAAAAAATCCCTTCCTTTCCCGTCTGACGCGATGACAGAGTATGCTCGTATCATGATCATTGCAACATGGTAATAGATGTCACTGGTAATTTCCACACTGGTGATCACACAATTTTTTCTCTCTCTTTTTTTTCTTTTTAATTAGAAAGCTCCATGTACATTTAACTTGGACCTGGTGCCTGACTGAAATAGGGAAGTTCAAAGGGATCTTTCCTCCTGGTCCAAATGCAGGCCTGCCTACCATGTTTGAGATAAGAGAGCAATAATGAACTAATTATGTAACACTTTATAGAACTTGAGCAAACAAGAAACTAAACCGGGCAAACAAGCTACATGTATTGGAATACATTTGATGCTGTGTGCACAAGTCACTACAGGGTAGTCTGGGCTGTTTTGGCAGGCACGAGGAACCAACTGGGGGCATCCCCAATGTGCTTGGAATACATGCGCACGTGTATCAAATGTCCAGAGTCTTTAGTTGTGTGACATGCGTACATTGCATGTGCAACTGGCCTGTGATTTGATTGACTCCTTCAAAATGCTGCACAAAATGTGCACTCTTATCACTGTGTTGCATTGTTGGTATGTCGTTTCAGCCAGTCTTATTGTTACTGTGTTTCCAGCATTCAATTTCAGGATACCTCCTCCCTTTTCCTAAATTATCTGCTCCGAGCGGAACAAAAGAGGGCTTGCCGCTTGGGGGCGCACTTCAACTCGGGGAGGATAAGGCTTACCGTTGCATCCTTAACCAACAGCTCAAGCACATAGGCCCCTTGCCCTTTTTTGTGGGCCTCATTTCTACATGTAGTAGAATAGTGGGTATAGACTATGCTACAGAGACACCATTAATGCAGTGGTACCATATCTATACCGGAACACGTATGTACGTGCATCCTGGAACTTAAAAATACATACACTTTGGCATATCACAACGTCCTATAGAGGCTTTGCGTGATAGCCATCTTGCAGGGCAGTTGTTTTGTTCCACGGGAAACCTCCTTGCATCCCCTTGTGAACAAAGACCTGTCTGGGTACCACGCAAAGCCACAATAGGTTGAAGAGAAACATAATGCCACCTGTGTGCGAGTGCATACCCCTGTGGTAACGGCGTCTAATTCTGGCTGTGGGATTACTCCTCCACCCTTCATGCACATGTATTTATACTTGGCCGACATAAAAAAAGATTCAGCTAAAAAAAAAAACGGTAAAACCGAAACCACTTCCAGGATGCACCAACAGCACACACAATTGTGCACTTACAATGCAATGACTGCAAGAGAGGATATGACAGTCCCAAAAAAAACATGAACACCGCAACAGTCATGTTACAAGGTACAAAGTGTACACGGCAAACTGTAGATGATATCAGCATTGTGCCATGTTGACCTTGGTATACAAGTACAATATGTGCTTTCAATGTGAATATTTCACTGGACATCATTTCACAGTGAATGCATGATTCCAATAAGAGAACAGTCACTACAACATTCTCTATGATTGTACATGTATGTACATGTACATGTAAGATAAGCAGAGTATGTGGAAGTACACTGTAATGCTGTACTAAGATGTGATTTGGTGCAATGTATCAAGCGGATCTCGGCATATATCCAAATGATTAAGATGGAGTGGGGTAATTTTCCTGGAAGGGGGATCATGATGATGCCCAAACCTTATACATTTGGGGACATTTGGGGCATATAAAGAGGTGTGCAATGAGGCCGGAATGGCTTGGTTTACAATTTGGAGGTAACATGCAGCCCAATGTTTGAATCTTTGAATTTGGAAGAAAACTGTGCCATAATGCATCCCAACTTTCCTCAGAAAAAAATTGCCCCCTTTACCACAGTGAAGACCTGAACATCATTCACACACACTGAAAACAATGACCAAACTTATTTATTGCCTACTCAGTTGCAAATATTGACAAAAGATAATATAAAACAGCATTTGTAAGGTGTTCAGTTTCTGATGGCACGCAGTCTGACACTGCTGTTTGAGACACAAGCGGCAAAACACAATAACCATATCTGCCCTTATATATGCAGGTCCCCACTTACTCCTGGTTGGAGAGTGGCAGGTGGGAGTAAAGTGACTTGCTCAAGGTCATAACATTTAACCATTTATGAGGATTCAAACCCCTAAACCCTATGATTGGGAGCTATAAAGCTTAATCTGTAATCACAAGGCCGCACGCCCCTACATTACATGACAACGTGCGCCGTTCATCCACCTAGCTTGATTCTGGAAACATGTGCTTGTATGCAGAAGCATGTGTGCCTGCCAACGAGTTTCAGTCAACACCGTGCAATGTCCCAGCTACATTGTAGCTACCTTATACTGCAGGCCAGTTCCAGACCCTTGAGGGAACAGCGACTCACCGTTGCTATTTTGCCGTCGATCACATGGTCCAGCCAGCCCGTGATCAGGCGCTTCTTTGCCCCGTCAGCCGTGGCCGCCATGGTCCCTAACATCCACAGACTGTGTCAAGTGACTCCCCAAAGAGGCCCTTCTCTCTTACCCCTCTGCCGCAAGACTTAGTCCAGCACACTCTGGCACGGGGGGCAAGCCGACTACATCAGCCGGAGCCGCGGCTTCTATTAATAACTTCCGTCTGTCTGTAGATGTTGACGCTCCTGTGGGCGCAAGAGAGAATCTGTCTAGGGTTAGCACTCGCGCCACCACACCTACACACACACAAAGGACCTGGACAATTCTGAATGACCCACAGAGATCAACGTTGCCCTTGGCAAAGCTCAAGGTGAATCTCTTTCAAAAGACAGGCACCAGTATCCAGCACTGGTAACCATGACTGCCTGTTGTAAATGGTTGACACTAAGCAAGGTGGGGGGGGGAAAGAAATTTCAGTGTGTCTGTTTACCAGCAATTATCACTGGTCACCCACAGCACTGTCTAACGATGATTAAGCAATCCTGGAGGAAAAAAAAGAGAACTTCCTGGTAGTTCGTGGTCTATGAATAGCAGCGGACGAAGCATCATTAGTTGGGCATGCTTAACTGCCATAGAGAGGCTTCGGCAAAAAAAAGAAAATTGTAGGAAGCACTCACTTTCTTGACAAATTGATTTTGTGGAAGAGGATGCTCGCACACTGTATCTTGAATGCCCATGTAACGCACATACCTACACGCACATCCTCTGCATGATGAAGTTAACTCTACAGAACCGTTTTTCTCCACGATAACCAAAAGTTTAAAGGATGGCACTTGTAATTTGTGTATCCTTTGGACCAGTCCACATCCAGTTTCAGCAGCTTTAAAGTGCTGTGCAATTGCAGCGTACTTAAATCAAGTCTTTTAGTGCAGAAAACCTACCAAACAAAATTGGACCAATTTGACTCTCAATTCAAATTTATTTCTAAATTTCACTGTATTTGAAGCATACATGTGGGACTACCATTAGTTTGTCGGAAGGACAATTCTTTAGTGTGACTGCATGACTGTGGAGAGAGAAATACAACACAGGCCACAGAGAAATCTTTCAACTGAGCATCAAGCTAAAGACAGCATTTACCGAGGCCAGTTCAAATATACACTATCAAAGTGAACGTTCATTAATTAAATGATTGGGCTTGACACAATCAACCATCTGAAATTATACAAAAATTTCCACCTTTATCCCCTTTTTATTAGTAATTATCCGGGGCTTCTTCCAACCTAGTATAACACATGACTTTGAAAAGTAGTATGAATATCAACCCCTTCCTGGGTTGCGTCTATAAAGATGACATCACGATGATGTCACGTTACAGGCAATTAAGGTATGCCATCTACAAATTTAAGTGAGAATTTCTGGCCAGCTCATTAGCATTAAAAGTGGCCCCACAGTTTCTTTTAGAAAAGGAGATTGTACAGCCCCCAAAATGGTGAGATTGTGTAGGTCGTTGCCAGGATCAAATCCCCGGGTCTCTAAGCTTTCATCTGATAGCACAATGGCCACAAAATACGGTTGGAAAATGGTCCTAAGAGGCTGAGGAACTTGACTTTGCATGCAGACTTTGGACAAATCACTTTTTTAGGGGGGTGATTTTGTTTGGTGGAAATAACTAAAAATGTAATCGGTTAACCCACAGAAAATTGAAAAGAAATTGAAAGATCAGGGACCAGACAATAATTCAATTTGTGTTTCAGAAATCTCAGGGATGTTGGTATACATGTACATGTTACTGGGCCCTGAACATGCTGAGTTTTACACTGTTTTCAATGGGGCTTGAATTCGTGGACTACACCCTATAAACTTTAACATATTATTTGATCTTTGAAAAATCCACATGAAATGGACTGTGAGAGTCCTTATTTCATGGAGTAAATGTATGCTCAACCCTTTCTTCCAGCTGAAACCAGCAGGGCGTTATCATCTTAAATTCATAAACAAGGCAACTTGCTCTCAGCAATGTTAATCTCCACCAAGAAAGTGACGACATCCAATACTCAATCGCCCTCTAACAGTAGGTTGAAAACTCAAGCTGATGTCATCAGACTAGAAGGTACAATAAAAGAGACCTTCTTAAAATGGTTTTAAAACTGCTGTTAACCAATTAGGAGTGATATACATGCAATCTTGCAATTTGTGTACTATATGATAGAATAAAAATAGTTTTCTTATAGTGGCCTTATGATGGTGCCATCAGATATCAAATAAAAAGCAGCAAAAAAACTTTAATCTTTGGAAATCAATTTAAAAAAATGACCATGTAAAGACTTTGTCTCTTTTAACAGAAATCGACTGAGTAATACCAGATCTTTAGAACATGTAATTCATGACATTTAGTAGTACATGTATTAGTGCCTCATAATGTAAAATTGATAAACTTGTCAACTCTTTTGGAATGATCCTGCAAAAAAGCATGTTTTAATATATTTTTGAATCTCTCTAAATTTTTGTCAATTACATGTACTTGATGAATAGGCATAATTTTGTGCAGTTGCCCAAAAGGAACTCCCACAAAAACAGACAAACACCTCAACAAACCCCAGAACACACAACCTTTCAGAGACTTATTTTCCTGTTGCACTAAATTTTTCAACAAGTGAAACAAACTTCAATTCTCTCCTTTAGTTCAACTGCACTACCTTAAGTACAATATCTTGAAGGATTTTAAGACACCTCCCATTTGCTCGAATGCTTCCCTCTTGTCCTAAGTTGATTGTTTTCATGTTAAAGTTAATATCAACACATGGCAAATGATAACAAGGCTTGGTAGGTTGATTCTAGATGTCTTCTGCTAAAAGGGCTGAGTGGGTATCATTCATACAGTCAGGAATTGATCATCAAGCCCAGAGTAGAGGTTCTGATCACTCATGACCATTTTACCATGGAAACATACATGTAGGCTGAAAAGGCATTTAATTTATCACGAATGTCATATCTCTTGGAAACACATTTCAATCTTGGCAAAATAGGCCCTGATTTCCCACCTGCATAACTTGACTCTAACATGTATGCCTGACAAATGATAGTATTTGGTATACATGTACAAGTATGGGGGAATTTGTCACTTCAAAGGTGAAATTCCCCACATCTTGGGTAGGGAAACCTTGAGGCTGTGAGAGGGGTGGGGACTGCAACTAATAGCTGGAAAGGGGAAGTACTTATCTTACCCAGCCTCAATGATGCCTGGATGAGACGAGCATAACCTCTCCAGCTATTTCTTCCAGTACTTGTATTACAGGTCAAACTTAACGATCACATTGTCATCAATCCATACTTTTAACCTAACGTTAGTTACAGAAGTGGCCTGTTTTTAGCTTACCAAGCTTCAACTGCCAATGAAGAAGGGATGAGTGTGAGTGTTTTTAACTTTATCATTTAATTTATAATATAGGCCTACCTTGTACACTGAAAACAAGTCCACACAGTTTTGGGAAAACTAAATTGTCTCAGGAAAAGCTGTGTTAGAACAGGTGACTCTGGCGCGGCCTTAATGCTCACCACATTGGGAAATTCACGATGTAATCATAAACTACGCTTAGGTAACGACGCATTCCACGAACGTGCACGCGTGACAACTTTTAAGTACGGGGCACTCGACCCGGAAGTTGCGGACAGTTACTCAGCCGTGCACGCCGGAACGAGGCGATCGTGAGCCGGCTGAGGTCATTGACGTCAATGCATACTTCAAATATCAGCGATCGATCCTTGCTCAGTCCCAAAAGAACTTCACCATGTAAATTCCTTCAGTAACACAATTCTGAAAACAAAAAGTCATATAACACCTACCATGCTCATATTACTGCAGCAAAATTTGGTGCCGTTTACGCATACAAACTTGTTCAGCAGTCCGCTGGATACCTGGAACGATCAGCGATTACTTCGATATCTGCGCAAAAAGTTTGAGGTTGCAGCAAATGCTTTTTTGAAATCTCGGTTTCGTATCGACGGAAGTTTCGCTCAATTTTCACCCCTCCCCAAGTTTTGACGCATTTATCTTATTAAAGATTCACACTGTTTCAAGAGAACTATAAAAGTATATCCTTGCAATCCAACATTGTTTTCACTTGGATAGAGATCAGTGGTCCAAACACAGCTGTTGGTGTCGAAGACATCGTTTAGACGGAACCCTTAGTTCCTAAACAGCTCACTACTTCAACGCTGGTGCCCTACACCGCAGAAAACTAACGCGAACCAGTGATGGCAAAGTTGCCGGTTGGCGGCGCTGCATTGTCGTTTTGCGTTCGGAAATCGTGAACGTTGGAAGTAGAAGCGTGATCCCTGTTAGAATCAATGAAATTAGAATGATTTTTCAACCTTTTCTTCCCCGTTCTACACTGTAAATATCTACAAAATACACTGCGTCAGTTTTTAACACCAAGTCTTTCATCCAACTCGCCATGGGGCGGAAGAAGAAGAAGCCTATGAAACCTTGGTGCTGGTATCCTTTTTCTTCGGTTTGTCATGTTTGTGCAAATCTCGTGTCTTTGTCATTGTGTGTTCCTTGTGGCAAAGAATATATTTCCGACACTTTGTCTTCAAAGTCATCTCGTGCGAGACTAAATATTTCACAGTGATTTAATTTAACTCAACAGCCCTAAATAAGGTACCTGCAATTGCTCCCAAAGTACTAAATGTAGTATTAACATAAGTGCTGTTGCTTGTAAAAGGACATGACCAGCTCATTGTTCTCTAATGTGTCCGAAGCCACGAAATACAATAGGCCTAGACATGATAGATAAGGCATTCATTATCATTACCAATACCATAATATATTATAATGAGGAAACAAAGTCTACCTTTTCGAAACAACATCTGCCTTTTCGAAACAACTAACCTAAATAAGTTGGTGATGTCCTCTTTCATGTCTTTCATATCTGAAAGAAAAGAGGGAAGGACTTTCAAGGGTTTTTGAGAGATAGTGTGGGGTGAAATGGCAGCATAACTGATCAATCAGCGCATGTGGTCTGGATCCTTGACGTGGAACCATAGAGGTTTCTTCAGTATTTCACAGTGGCTGGGTCGGGAAACAAGCCATGAAACAAAATGGCGTGATGAGCTTGTCTTTCGCCGAACTCGGGTAACAAATAATTCCAACCACTCCTGCTAAGATTATGTATAGAGACGTCTAGGAAATTTATGGTCTGGTAACCACACTAAATGTTGAGTGATAGCATCCAAAATATAGAAACAGTTCCACAGACCGATGTAAAAACTGAACTGTCACGCACAAGGCGCTATTTTCCTGAGCCAGGTTTGCAATCAGGTACTGCAACCGAGAATTTGAAGATGAGAAGATCCTCATCCAGCACCAGAAGGCGAAACACTTCAAATGTCATATTTGCCACAAGAAGCTGTACACAGGCCCGGGACTGGCTATACACTGCATGCAGGTGAGTGGCGTAGGCTGGCTATCCGCTCCGAGTGGGAACGGAAGAGGGCGTGTTTTCAAATGATATTGACAGTCCTTTGGTACGAACCCACCGCATAAGCAGACACATTTATGCACTTTTTATTGCGGGAAACACTTGAGTACACGCAACAAATTTATTCTGGAATGTATGGTCTTCATGTGCACACCAATGCGTGCAAGAACCTTGTTGGAAAACTATGTGCCAGGTTGTCTTTCTTTCATCGGTGAGGGTGCATTTCAACTCGGGCGCATACACTGCATGTACTCGGGTGGCTTAGGCCAAAGAAATAATTTTTAAAAATGCATCACAGAGCATCTACATTTCAAATTTTTCCTGAGGTCATCCCACACCGTATCACGTTTGCAATTTCAGCTAGTTTGATGCTCCACTCACACCCCTGTATAAAAATCTGGACTTCCCCGGAGTGATACTGTTCTGCCCATTTCACAATTTGAAGCCACTCAATAGAGTCGAACACAAATATGAAGACAATGTAAGGTCCAAAGGTTTTGTTTGTGAATTTCAAAAATGCTCATAAACGGTGGATTCTTAAAGGGTGCGGAAGGTGAAGGGTGCGGGAAGGTGAAGGGTGATGCCAGTGCAAATGTCAGGCAAATATTGCAGTGCAATCAACGTACACAACAGAAGCCTTCAGTGGGGCTGGAGGTAGTTAAACCCCCAACTTGTGTAGTGTGTTCTTGCAATGTTATCTTCTCAATTCCTTGTGCAATTGGCAGGTTCACAAAGAGAACATTGACAAGGTGCCCAATGCCATCCCAGGCAGGTACGACATTGAGGTGGAGATCTACGGCATGGAGGGCATACCGGAGAAAGATCTGCTGGCGCATGCTGCCAAGACAAACCAAAAAGGTTGGCAAACCATTCTGAACCCGTCAAAAAAAGCATTCATTTATGGCTCAAGTCTGTTGTTTAATCTTGATGCATGTCAGAAATCCTCATTGGCAACTAATTTTTCGGAATTTTGTTTCGCTCAAAGTGTCGAAATTTATCAACTCTTTAACGGGATCACTCTGAGCAGATGCCCACACTGTAGAAATAGTTACAAGCAACCTGAATTCCAAGCTGAGTCAAATAGGTCGAGCATACAGGTGACTTGCAGAGTAGTAAGTACCAAACTTGACAAAATCAAGCACAGTCCATTTCAACACACGGTACCACTAGCCAGTCACTCCATGGAGCAACCGCTGTGTGTTCCCACTCAAAATCAACACCATCAACGTGGGCCTTTGTTCCTCGATCCAACAAAGTTGAACAATGAGTTCATAATGTATGGCCAACACTTGACAAAACCTACAGTTGGAGTTGGAGGGACTTGGGCTTGACTGGAATTCTTCCAATTGACAGTTTGAACCTCAAGCTTGAATGGAACAAGCTTATGGAGATTAACCCTAACCCTAAAGCCAGTGCATCAGGTGGAAAAGTCGGATCTGACGCACTTTGATTCACGTGGCAATCAAGAGCAGCCAAACAAAGTGGCCATGTTAAGACAATGGGAGCTAGTCCCATTGTTCACTGCCACTGTTGGATCTTGTGGTGACGAGCAACCACAGACTCCCGGGCTGTTTGGCCTTGGGGAGAGTTGACCTGTTGGATCTTGTTACACTTGGTGGACAAGCCACTTTGACAAACAATGCAGTCTGATGGGTCTGACAGGGTTTCTAGCCAAAGTACCCTTGGAGGGTTAGGGTTGAAGATGTATTTGATCACATGACTTTTCGGTGTGATTGCATTTGCTAGAAAAAGGTGATGCAGAGGACGAACCCACAAAACCGAAGCAGTCGGCCCAGTCCACGTCTCAGAACATACCCCCGCCTCCGATGATGCCTGGAATGATGCCGGGACATATGCCGGGACAGATGCCGGGCCAGATGCCGGGCCCAATGCCAGGGCAGATGCCGGGCCCAATGCCAGGGCAGATGCCCGGCATGATGCCGGGTCAAATGAGGGGTCCCATGCCCCCGGGCATGCCGCCGATGCCACCCATGCCACCACGGATGCCAGGCATGCCAGAGATGCCTGGTATGCCTCCCTTCATGCCGGGGTAAGTCCCCCTGAGTTTGTTCACAAGCAGTGCCTTTTAACGTTTTAAAATGCAGAAGGGTACGTCCTCAAGCAATTAAAAAGAATTATTTTGTGGTCAAACAGGAAAACCTCGGCCCAGCCGGCCACGGCCAAACAAGGACTGAGAGCACATTGCGTGCCACCTTGTCAATCAAACAAAAGAATTGTCACAAAAGAGTCCGTAATTTGGGTGGTTTTGTTTTATTTATTAGTAGAATAGAAAATTCTACGGAATAAAACATGAAGTCTCAGCAAACTGATGAGTTCAGAAGAACTTCATTGTTGGATTACAAGGAAATAACCACTTGTAACATCTCCAATAGACCTTTTTGACTCACGTGACTACATGTAAACAATACAACCACGTGTGGACCGCCTTGGCCACGGTGATCACATGTATACCTATGGGCAGCTTCAACCATGTGCAAGTGCACGTGCAAACGCTGCATGCTTAACTAGTTTAGCTTGAATAGGTAGATTACCATCACAACACTATGCACTCATTACCATCACAACACATCAGAGGTCCATCAGGATCGTGACATCACCGGAAAAAGGTCAATAGCCACCATGGGGGGGCAAGCAGGGTTGCTTGTGCACTGTGCATGGATGTGTGGGCAAGGCGTGGGAACGTTTGTCAAATTTTTTGTCTATTCTCCTGAGATTCAAGTTATCCAGAGATCACTGTAAATCCTATATTTCTTTTTTCAATTTGCAATAAATTGTCATTTTTTTTTTTACCTTGGGCAGTATGCCGATGCCACCCATGCCGCCGGGGTTCCGACCTCCCATGGGCGGGCCAGGGGGTATGATGCCACCCCGCGGCCTACCCGGCATGCCACCAGTTTCCCTGGAAGCCCCAGCCTCGTCTACCTCCAGCAATCAGCCGGCGACCGCTGCCCAGGCAGGGCCCAGCCTGGGCCCCATGGGCGGGGGCCAGCATCAGCAACCGCCCAAGCCGCTCTTCCCGAGTGCAGCAGCCGCTGTGAGTATGCATCAAAAGTGGGTGGTACTTGGCTCAATGCCAAAGTGGGAGGGGGAAGGGAGACTCCTGACATTTTTCCCTAAAATCATTGGAGAACCTTTTTTGTAACTTTGTAAATTAGATATATTTCTGTTACAACTTTCAACAACTTTCAAAAATATCTGGGCAGAAAATGCCAACTATTTCCATTAGTAACATGCAGTAGAAGCACACACTCGCATTTTGTGTGATTCGTAAGTAGCAAAAACATGTAGGAATATTTTGGAAGGAGTTATGAAGATTTATTTACCAGCATTGACGATTTATTTAGAAAGGTAAATTTGTGAACTTGATTCAGTCGACACTTGGTAATACAAGCTCAGATAGGATGAGATCCCAGTGAAGACGATCTCTCTAGTCCCAATCAAAGTGTGTACATTCCTATGAGAAAAAAAAAACCTTAATCTCACCACCCATGGGTTGCTGGCCCTAACCTTCGCCAATCACACAAACTTCAACACTTTGGAAAAACACTCTTACCTCACAGCACTCAATCACACAAACTCCAACAGGTCTTTACCTGTGTGATTTTGTTTGATTGGGTATAGGAGGCCCATTGCACATCGCAAAGAGTATGGGTCGACTGTACTTAGTAAATCAAACAAATTTACACAAGATCATCGTGTATGAATTATATCTGTGACACCCAAGTATAGTGAGATTAACGACCCAACTGCTGGGCTCATGGTGAGCTGCTTATGTGCTGCCTACCCCTGATTCCCCTGGGTCTCTTCTCAGGTGAGGGTTGGTGTAAGGTCATGCTACACTCCACAGTGTCCTTTATTGTTTTGCATTAGAAACACACTCTCACAAAAAGTAGGTGTTTTTGAGTCTATGGGTAAACCCCAATACCTTGGGAAAAAGTCACAGAGCCACAGTGCCCATTCAGTCAAAATTCAACACCAGATCGTAAGCTACCAGTACTGGATGCCATAAGCTCACACACTATACTGGTGTGAATTCTGTGTGGTGAGGGAAGGTTGGGGTCAATACGAGCTTGGGTGATACGAGATTTCGGTTAAGATGAGTGCTTTTTCCCGTCCGGTCGAGTGCACATGTATTGTTGTTTGTCTATTTAACACAAGTATTGTAAAAGCAATTCATCAATTAACGAACCCGTTTAATGTTGTACTAGGCACGATGATAAATGCTGGCTAATCCATGACTGCGGTTTCAGGGCATTCTAGATTCCCGAGTGATCAGAGCGTTTTCTTTGTGGGGGCTTTTGTGCCACGCCACCTGATCAGAATGAACACGACGGACAATGGGCATTTGCGATTCCCCACCAGAGGGCCCGACCAGAACAAATTCATTTCAAACTCCCCGCCAAAACATGAAAAAGAGAAAGAAAAATGCCCCTAGCCAATCTATAAATTAACATGAATTCAATTTTCTTTTAAAAGTGCATTGTAACCTTACCGGTAAATGCCTCTTTGGGAGTCAGATTTAAGACTTATAAATCTCAACGCTTGAAAAAAAAGAAACCTTAATTTCCGCACTATTACCTAGGCTGTGACCTATGCCTTCAACTATCTTCACAAAACTTCACTGGTTTCCTTCACTTTGTACATGTATAAAATTGCATCCCTGTAGTCGGTTACCAACAAAAGTATTAATGTACTTGGGCCATTCCATGAAGTTCAGGCACAGTTTGCTATAGCATCTCTTGTTACATCGGTAACTTTTATTGCCTATTATTTTCACGTTACAACAGATTAAGTCATTATTATTCGGCAAAGATGAAGCACACCACTACAAGAACCTAGCAAGATTTAGAACAATGTCAATTTAGAATCCACATGCAGGAAAAAACAGATGTTTATTTTCACTGATGTAACAAGGGACGCCGTCACAAACTGTGCCCGAACTTCATGGAATGACCCACTCATGTGCGTGGTCTCTCATGATATTGACCAGAACGGTGCACGTTACATCACTTCAACGATGATTGCCGATGCCCCATTGTTACATTTTATTAATTTCTTTGTTCTTCTCAATCATCATATAAGTTTTATTGTAACAGTTCTTTGTTGATTATACACGCACAGTCCACTTTCATAAAGAACTGAACTGAATCTGCTTGCCCTGAAGAAGGTACTCACTTACCGAAAGCTTGGCAATCACATATTTCAGAGCACTGATTTCGTATTATATTCTTTTCGATATTCTGATCATGGTGCTACGCAGCCTTCCACATTCATAAAGAACATGTTTGAAGTGTTTTGAAAGCAAATTCATTACCTATCAACAGAAGTACAATCAGCAGATGACGTATACGAGCGAGAAAATAGTTTCTGCTCAAGATGAGGTTCCAGATAATATGAGATAATTAAAACCCCCCTTGGGTGTAAAACTCACATTGAAATTGGAGGATTTAGGACTGTTAGGGTTAAAGTAAGTCCCGAGGCCAGACAGATGGCTAGGTGAGACACTGCCCTGGACAGCCTAACTCTTAAGGAAGACTTTAAGGAGATTTAAGATTCATGTTTCTGAAACTAACATTTCCCCAGACAACGGCGTCAGTCACGGGCCCTGGTAATTCTACCTCGGCGTCCACCATCGGCCCCGTCAAACCCACATTCCCAGCTTACGCCAACCCGGCTCCGGAACCGGCCAAGAGCATGCCGATCCCCAGCCCTAACACGGCGACGGTCACGGCGGCCGCGCCCAAGCTCAACACCCCCGCCTCGACGATGGCAGCAGAGAAGACACCCTCTAGCGGCAAAGGCATGACCACAGGTACCAGTAAGATAGTGCACCCAGACGATGAGCTCTCCCTGGTAAGTTTGGCGGTATTACAATTCTTCATGAAGAGGAAACTTTGCTTGTTTTAAATGCAAGTGAAACAGGTGTTTTGAGATTGCAGGTGATGATGCTCAGAGATCCATAAACCCTGTTGCAATTACAGACTTTCTACTTTGTACTTGGACTTTTGTTAGAGTGGCAGTTTCCAATTTAACGATTTCTGAGACAAAAAGTCTATTGAAAAAAAGTTTCTCACCAGAATGGTACCTGTCCAAAGAGTTTCTCACCAGAATGGTTCCAGTCCATGTTGTTCACATGTTCTGTTTCTTGTTTTAGTTATGTTGCTTTGTTTTTTACATTTTCATTCC